TCAGTAAAAAAAAAGTCTGAACAACAAAAAAAGTAACAGACATTCCAGGATTTCACTTGGCAAGGATTCCAATCCTATAGATAAAAGCAATATTGCCCACACTGGAACATGGACATTTCCTTGATACCTAAGCTATGGTAGCAGTGAACGAAATCATGTCCCTGGGCCATCTCTACCTTTGCAATGGAGAAGAAAACGTTGGCCAGATAAGGCAGCATTTAAAATCCAGCTCTCTCACCCTGATAGCTTATTACCCAGTTACTCATGCACCTGCTATGCTCTGTGTTGTTGCTGTTAGGACTACCACTGGCCTCTGGCACTCCGCACACTCAGAGTCTAGAGGGCCTTTCTCTACAGAGAGGACAACTCCACAGGGAATGAGGCAGAACAGAGCCGACTGCCAGTTCTTTTTCAGGCTTTTCAGCCACCTTCGGTCCGGACGTTCACGACTGTAAAGGGCCTCTCGCTAGTCTCCAGCAGCTCCATTCCCAGTTCACCCCCTTCTTTGGAAGAGCACCTCAGACTGTTTTCCCATGCTCAAACTCTCCAGTCTGTGGGATGAAGTCCAAACTTTGGGCCTGAAAAACAGGGCCTTCACAATCACTTCTCCAGCCTGGTCAAGCCACTCATAGCTCCCTAAATGCATCTTTTCACTCCCATCCTCGGGGCCCTTGCACATGCTGGTCTCTGCCTACAACATCCTTCCTACCATTCTGCGTGCTGAGCCAAAGACGGCTCCTCCTTCAACACCTCACTTTCACTCCACCTCCTCTTGAAGTTCTTTTCCAATTCCTTCCTCCCAGGAAAGGCCAACCATTCTTGCCTGTGAATGCCACACTGTCCCCTCCCACCTCTGCTCCAGCACCTATGACGGTCAGTTCCAAGAGCATGGAGGCTGACCTCTATTCATCTTTGCATCCCCCTGCTTGGCCAGCACACAGGCAAACAGAAGGTGCTCCATGTTTGTGGACTGAAGGCTGAATGACCCAGGTCGTGGACCCCAGGTCAGGGCCACCGCTGCCCCACGGAGAGGCCTCTGAAGAGAAAACAAAGTGGGGAATCATGCTTTAACTCATTCACTCAAGAGTAACTGTGGTACATCTATTACGCACCGTGGAGATATTTTATAAATGATACAAACCTGGTCTCCACTTTCAAGAAGCACAGAGTTGCAAATAAAAGGGGGACATTCAGAAAAGTTTAAATAATCACAACAGGTAGTATTGATGAGGATTTTTAGGCTGCTTAATTTTAAAATGGCTTATGATGAGGATTCTTAGGCTGGTTAGTTTTAAAACTACAGATGAGATTCAGGCTCCAAGGAGTGGAATTTGTTTGCCCCTTTGTTGGGAAACATTTACATTTCTAAGGGAAACCTCTATCTGTGAAGATGCCTCCCTCTCTGTGCCAGGAAGAAGGGGGAATGGTCTTATCTCTAGAAGCTCTTAATGGGGAAGGCAAGAACTTAAGTTGGTTGCTGTCTGGCAATCTCATGTAACTGGTTTAGGGTGGTGGTGTCTAACCTTTCTAACCTTTACTTAACCCGATTTGATTCTTGTCTAAAAGTCATGGGATCACTCAATGACCAGACCCTACCTGCATTGATACCATTTTAACTTTTTTTTCATGTTCTTTCCTTTCTCTTGTAAAGAGATGAATCATATACCTATGCCTTAAATTTAGCCCTAACCCTCAACTCGGGGCAGCAGCAGAAGCTCTGACTGCCCGTGGGTCCTGTCCCCACGCACCAGCTCTGCCTGCCCATGGGTCCTGTCCCCATGCCAGCAGGGGCAGCAGCAGCTGCTCTGCCTGCCCATGGGCCCTGTCCCCATGCCAGCAGGGGCAACAGAAGCGGCAGCAGCGGAAGCTCTGACTGCCCATGGGTCCTGTCCCCATGCTACACTATTCTCTAAATAAAAGAGCACTACTGCCAGATCTTAAGAGTCTAAGAAATCTTTCTTTCGACTCCTCGGCTCACCGACCCCGCATCATTTTGACCAAGTGTCAAGTAAGTTTGGAAGAAAATATACATCTGAGAAAAGTCCGACAGACCCAGCTAGGACTCAGTCCCAGATCTGCCTCTGTAGGACCTTGGGCAAGTTACTTAACTTCTCTCTGCCTCAGTTTCCCCATCTGTAAAGATGATGAACTCTGACCTCACGTTCTGCCACTTCCCCTCCTTCCCTCTGCTCCACTTCCTACTTCCCTCTGGCTTTCTAACTATTCCTCAAATAATCAGGCCACTCCTGATTAAGACCTTGACACCTTCTGGTTCTTCAACCTAGATCACTTCCTGCAAATTAGAATCATTCAGTTCTCTATTCAAAAGCTACCTCCTCAGAGAATTCCCTGACTACCTGGTTAAAATAGTATCTCCCCCTCCCATGTCATTCCTAATGCCCCTACCCTGATTTATTTACATCACAGCACTTATCAGTACCAGAAATAAAACTATTTGTTTACTCTTCTCTTCCCCTGCAACTCTACTAGGCTATACACTCCTCGAGGGCAGGGTCTTGGTCTTAGCTGGATCCCCAGGGCCTAGAATGCCTGGCACATAGTAGACACTGAAAAAATATTTGTTGAATAAATGGTGGTAAGAAAATAACACCTACAGCAAAGGGCTTTGAGAGGATTAAAAGAGTGCGTATAAAGACATACAAAGTGCCTAGCACATAGTAAGCTCAATAATGTTCGCTAATACTATAATCAATGGAATCCAGAAGAGGGTGAGGTCAACAGGGACACAGGCAGTTCCAGAAAAGTTTCCAGAAGGCAGGTTTTGAGCTTGATCTGGAAGGATAAGGACTTTCCTAAAGGGCAGAGGGGTGGGGCCATTGCAGGGGTACAAGGCACCCCTCCCCCACGTACCCTCCATTAAATGCAGAGTCATCACACTAAGAATCATCTATTGACCAGCGTCCCTCTGCCACCCATTAATCCACTTCTCTTTTATTTTTACATCATCAGGGCCTTACATGAATTTCACTACAAATGAGCAGGTAATGTTATCAAATTAATTTCAGAAATCTGTAGAAAAGGCACAGCCTACTCTTTGGACAAGCAACCCAGCCTAGGTGTCTATCCTAAAGAAATACTCAAGTATATCAGCATTAAAAATCACATATCAGGGGGCCGGCTCCGCGGCTGAGTGGTTAAGTTCGCACGCTCTGATGCAGCAGCCCAGGGTTCAGATCCTGGGCGCGGACATGGCACTCGCTCCTCAGGCCAAGTTGAGGCGGCGTCCCACATCCCACAACTAGAGGGACCTGCAACTAAGATATGCAGCTGTGTACAGGGGGGATTTGGGAAGATAAAGAAGAAGAAAAAAAAAATGATTGGCAACAGTTGTTAGCTCAGGTGCCAATCTTTAAAAAAAAAAAAAAACATCAGGATGTCCACTACAGCGTGGCTCGTGAGGGGAAAACAAAAAACAGAAGCAACCAGAATGCCCACCCACAAGGAAACAATAAACACACTACAGTGCGTCCATACAGTGTAGAGGTTAAACTGAATAAGGTAGATGCTTATGTACTAATGTGAAACAATCTCCAAAATATACTGTTAAATTGAAAAAAAAAGATTGGAGAATACACACTGTGTGATCTCATTCAAAAAAACCTAGAAATTTCTCTCAAGTTATAGATACGTATCTTGTTAACTACTGTATTTTCAGCTCTTCAACACTGTGCCTGAAACATGTTTAGTTTTCAATAAATATTTGCTGAACGAATGAAGACACATATGGACATAAGTAGACACGGATCGGAAAATAGATCTGCTTTTCACTCTAAATATTCCTGTACTGTTTGCATTTTTAACAGACTGCATTAATGTATTACTTGTATAATCAGAAAGAATTCAAAATAGTTCCTAAAAAAGAAAAAGTTCCAGAACCTGGATAGATGGTAAAGAGGTCCAGGCACCAACACTGAATAACTTCTCCAGATAACTATTTTAATCGTCTTGAGCAACTAGGGCTCTTACACAGCAACTCAACGCTCACTTCAGCATCACACCCCTTACCAGCATAAAGAAGGACAGAAAAGTGCTGGGTTTGAAATTGTTCCTGAAAACCAGATAACGGCATGCTCTTTCCAGAGGCGCTCTTCTTACAAACCACGACTCCCCTGGGGCTGGGACTAGCGCTCGGCGTTCCCGGTGCGCCCAGGAGCAGAGTAAGCTCGGCAGGTGGGCGTGGAAAGTCCTTCTGGTAGGCGTGCGCACACAGCGCCGGGGGATGGAAACTTACTTTTGGACCGGCCCCTTCTCGGGCTGTAATCTGTCTCTCCTGCTCAGACATCGTTTCCCGGAGGAATCAATTTCTTCTGTGATCCGGCCCAGAGCCCAAAGGTCACCTGGTTAATGGAGAAGCGCGGTGTTAAAATCCAGGGAAAAGAGGAGCGGGGTGTGGATGGCATCTTTGCGGTTCGGCTTTAACGCGAAACGGGTTCTGGGAACCCGCCCCTGCATTTCGGACAGGGAATCGGCGGCGCTCACCCCATGGGCTAATTCAAAATTGCGCTCGGTCGCGGAGCTGAGACGGGAGAGTGGGCCTCGGACCCTCACTCACACTCGGAGGCCAACCTGCTGGTGCCTCAGTGTCCTCGACCGAGGCGGGACCCTTGGCGGGGGGCCTGTCCTCCCTCCCGGGTCTCCGATACCTCGGACGGGTGCGCTCCGGACTCTTGTCTTCAGCCTCCGGCGTGTGCCGGGTAAGGAAAGAGGGCGGGCGAGCCGCGTAGACCCCGGCCGGAGATGCAGACCCCAGAGTTCGCCCACTGCCGGCGGGGAAGGTGCGGCGTGGCGGGCACCGGCGACAGCTCCGCTCCTGGCTCCGGGTCGAAATGCCGCAGCCGCTGCGGGAGTGAACGCAGCACGCGCAAGAGCCTCCCATTGGTCTCCAACCGGCGGCGGGCTCTGGAGTGGGGGCTTCCAGTAGGCGAAGGGGCCGGGGGCGGGAGCGCCAGCTGTCCATCACAGGCCACGCCCTCCTCGGCCCAACTCCCGCTGTGGTCCTGCCCATGGGGGCGGAACCCGTGAAGCCACGCCGAAAACTCGCCCACTCCTTGGGCGATTCCATTGGCTGGAAGGCCGTGGGAAGCTACTACCAGCAACCAGTTGGAACGCACACTTGGCACCGCATGCTTTCTCAGGAGCCAATAGAGGAGAGGAAGAGCGAAGCGCTTCCTGGGTTCGGGGGTCGGCGGAAGATGGCGGCCGCCGAAGGGGGTTGGTGCTTGTGCGAGTTGCTGAGGTGAGGAGCCGGTGGTGTGGGCTCGCAGGCGTTGTCTGTATCGCGGTGGTACTTGTCCGCCCAGTGCAACTACGGTTGATGGGGGGGGCGCTTTCCTTGTCACGAACCTAGCTGCTTTCTCAAGGCCAGTGAGGGCTCTCCCTCTCACTTTGGGGTCTGCTAGCTAGACTGGAACAGATGGGGGTAAAGACTCAGTTTACCGCTTTTTCTTCTCCTGCCCCACGGCTGGCGAAGGGGTCGAGTTGCCCTCCCTGCTTCAGCTTTTCTCTCTCTTGTTCGCACTCCAAATAGTTTGTCATAAATTACTCTTATTGATTCCTCGTTTTCGTTTATGATTGAGCCCCAAAAAATCATTTTCCAATCTATCATGTCTCTTTTTGGTAAAGAAGAACCTGGATCTTCCTTCCCACGTCTTAGTCTCTCCTCTTTCACTCACCAAAACAGTCCTGTTAACATATGTCACTTAAATATAAAGGTTATGTTGAATCCTCTGCTTTTTGATTACCCGTTTTTTATTTCGGATTGACGTAAAAATAGTGGCATAAAATATTTTTACCTCTATTACATATTTTATTATTTCTTGTAAAAAAGTTAGGAAATAGATGAGCAAAAAAGATTATTCTCCTGGAATGCTACCATCTGGAGATAACGACTGTTAATATTTTTGGTGAAAAAACTCCCAAACTTTCTTTCGACGTTTATTTGTTGTAATACCACTGTATTTTACGTGTGTTGCCCTACAGTAATAAAACAGAAGGCCTACACAGCTCTTTTAACGCCTACATATTTTTGTTCGGGTTGAAAATTTATAATTAACACGATAGCATCCTGAATAGCAGTATATACACATTCTTTCCAAAATTCAGATATTGTTTCTTCATTTTTGTCCTTTCTACTTCAAATTCTATAATGGTTGTTTAAAACATTGCGAACGGGAAAGTCTGTTTTCAGAGCCTTCGTATTCTTCCCTGCTATTTGAAATATCCCTAACCTAGTGCTTTGCACATAATAATGGCTAAATAAATGTTTGTTGAATGCGTGACTCACTGTTGATTACAGTTATGTTTTTAAAGCATTATTTTTAAACATGGGTAAACATTATTTAATAGTACATATTTTAGTTATATTTAAATAAATTCTAAAATGGGCAATTTTGATGTGCAAGTACTGTAGGATGTTTAGTAAACTTATTTACAGAACTTGTAAGTGTATCTTTGAAACTAACAGACTCAAAATAAAGGAGTGGTTCATTAGTTTAGTCATTACTATGATTTTTTCTTCTGATCTTAAGTTAAATAGTTCAATTTGAAAATCCTATCACATGAATTTTCCCACCTAAGTCATTTGAAGGAAATATTATAAAAACCTTTGGATTCTATGAGTCAGCTACATTTTAAATTAAATGGGGTTTTGACTTGTCCTGGAAAAGCTAAATGAATTCATAAACTTTTTTTAATTCCTCAGTTTTCATTTCTAATATGCTAAAATACTAGTAGGTATAATCACTGTAAACCAGTGGTTCTCAACAAGGAGTGATTTTGCCCCTGCAGGAGATTTAGCAGCATCTCGAGATAATTTTGATTGTCATGATTGGCAGGGTGCTGCTAGCATCCAGTGGGTTGAGGCCAGGGATGCAGCTAAACATCCTGTAATGCACAGGACACCCCCAGAACAAAGTTATCTGGTCTAAGAGGTCAGTAGTGCCGAGGTTGGGAAACCCTGATGTAAACAAAAGCAGTATAGGGTCCTCAGTAATTTCTCAGAATATAAGGGTGTCCTGAGACCCAAATCATTTTGACAAGTCAGATATGTCTTCAAGTAATGAATGGAGTTGTTCACAATAGGAATTCACATATGAGAAATTGATTTCAAAACTAAATATCAATAAGATGTTTATTTCTCTAAAGACTTGGTGTGTTTTCTTCTTACAGACAATGAAAACGATGTAACTACACAAATTATCCCCATATTTGCTTTGGTCATTAAGCAGCCCAGAGTCCAATCTGCTGTTCTCCTCTACGCACAAACTTAGAGCCTGGGTAGCTATGTCCCCTCACCTGTCTTCCTTCCCCCCCAAAACACTTTAACTCTATATTTTCCCTGGTCTTGATTTTCATTATTAAAATTTTAGTATTTTATTGTTTTTACGTCCTTTAAGCCCCTCAGATCCTTTATAAAGGGTTTGCAGGGTATAAAAAATATTGTTAGGTACCAACTCTATTGACCAATTCTAAGAGGTAAACATACCTTGAGAAATTATTTCAACATAATTTAAGAGACACCTGAGGAGGTAATAACATTTTGCATTCAGTCATCAAATACTTATCGGATGCCTTCTCTGTGTCAGGTGTTACACTAGGCCTTGGGATACGGCGGTGAACACGCCTGGGTCCTCGCCTTTGGAGAGCTGCAGTCGACCTGGCAGTAATAGAGAACCTTTTAGCAGTCAGTGTGGGAGGGAGCATACTAATGTGCGTGAAGTAGAACATTAGTGGATTTTTGGCAGCTCATTCTGAGGCACATAAAGGAAAGCAGTGATTTTAGGCTCATGTAAACACATCAAAAGCAGAACTCAGAAGAGAATTGGAGAAATTTAGATTCCATTCCTCTTACCCCAGAAATTGTTCTACTTGAAGTGAAATGAGAATACGAATGATTTACTATCTCACCAAACTTTGAACTAATGGAATATTGATCCTTCAACAAGACATGTTTCTTTGGGCTACATATTGTCATTTTGAGGGCCAAATGCCATTCCTAATCATGTCTTATTTAAGTTAAATTTTTTTAAATCCCTTAACACATACACTGAGTTGATAGAAAAGTGGCTCAACATTGATCAGCAGTAAAGCTGATCAGAAAGAAAAAATATGTTAAATTGCTAGCATGCTGTGGGGATTGGAATTAAAGGGGACTTGGCACTTTTGTCACTGAAGATTTTGTAGCATTAGAATTTTAATAATTGAGGGCCGGCCCGGTGGCGCAGCGGTTAAGTTCGAACATTCCGCTTTGGCGGCGGGGTTCGCCGGTTCAGATCCCGGGTGCAGACATGGCACTGCTTGGCAAGCCACGCTGTGGCAGGCGTCCCACATATAAAGTAGAGGAAGATGGGCACGGATGTTAGCTCAGGGCCAGTCTTCTTCAGCAAAAAGAGGAGGATTGGCAGCAGTTAGCTCAGGGCTAATCTTCCTAAAAAAAAGAATTTTAATAATTGAGTATTTTGTGAGCAGACTCATAAGATATAAAAATTTTCTCTGCTACTAATATATAAAGTTGATACGTAAAAGTAGACGTTAATTTGTAGTTTTTTTATTTAAGGGGCATTATATCAATTTTCACCTTTCCCTTCTTGTTTCAGGTTTTTTTATTCATTATTTTTCCCTGGGCTAATTGTATGTGGAACTCTGTGTGTGTGTTTGGTCATTATCCTTTGGGGAATCAGACTGCTGCTACAGAGAAAGAAAAAGTCAGCGTCAACTAGCAAAAATGGGAATAATCAAATGGTGATTGCATTTTTTCATCCGTACTGCAATGCTGGCGGAGGAGGAGAAAGAGTTTTATGGTGTGCCTTAAGGGCCCTGCAGAAAAAGTAGGTATGCATCTTTATTGGCTAATTTGCTATATTGTTACCATTTTTAAAAAATCATTACCCCAGAATTCATCTTTCTCTAGTACCTTATTCATACCCTGCAGCTTCTTTTTTAACTGTTTTCAATAGGGAAATATTCTCCCATATGCCAACCTGCCTTACAAGATCCTATTGAATTGTAGTTGATATGATAAAGAAATGGGAAGGGAAAGTATCTGGCCTTTTACGGCATAATTTAGTTGGGATAACTAAGCACCTTGGGAGAGCGTGTGGAAAAGAGATTGAATAATAAACAGAAATAAACCATGTACTGTGGAGTTCTTTAAACCTGAATACTTTTAGTCAGTGGTGGCACACAGGAAATCATCTCTATGAAAGCATCTATTTGATTCTAATTTTGATGTCATTACCAGTTGGATAGTCTTAAGTAAGTTACCATGTTAGAAAGAATATGGTGTTACACACCACTTAATGTTTTAGGCTTCCTTCTCCCCACCCCTTTCCAAAAAATATTTTTGATTCCATTTTAGAAGGGAAAAGGTACAGTAAAATATAGGTTCCATTATTGTTGAAAACTGTTTTCCTTCCATGGTTACCCCACTTCCTGGCATACTCCCTTCATACAGTTCCAAAGCCTTCACAGTAATTCCCTTAGCTCTGCATTTCTGTATTCTTGGCCCATCCTGACTTCTAGCCACCATCCCTGAATTTCCTCTGCCATCCTCTGTAACTGCCTGAATCTAAAGAATTTTCTTAAATCCCAGTTTAATTCCTGCCTCCTTGAAGCCCTCCCTACTCTAATGCTACTATTCTGTCCTTCTCATAACTCTGTGTGTTAGCTTTGTCTCTCTAACTAGATTATCTAACTCTTGAGGACAGCGGTAAAGTTTCATGATGTCTGTACACATACTCTCCACCAACTCCTAACTCACATACAAGAAAAAAATCCAAATAATTAGTATGATCTAGAAGATACTTTTTCATCTTGCTCTTGCCGTGTTTTGTTTCTCATCCCTCCCTGTACCTTCACATGTACTTTGCTCCAGCATACTGGACCAGGAGCATCATGCTCTCTCTGTGTTTTGGTTTTGGTTTTTTTGAGGAAGATTAGCCCTGAGCTAACATCTGCCACCAATCCTCCTCTTTTTGCGGCGGAAGATTGGCCCTGAACGAACATCCATGCCCATCTTCCTCTATTTTATGTTGGGATGCCTGCCACAGCATGGCTTGGCAAGTGGTGCGTAGGTCCACATCCAGGATCTGAACTGGCAAATCCCAGGCTCCCAAAGCGGAACATGAGAACTTAACCTCTGCACCACCAGGCTGGCCCCATCATGCTCTCTCTGGATTCCTTGCCTTTCTGTATATTGTTCTTTTTCTCTGAAATACCTTTTTCTCCTCACTTAATTCCTACAAGTCTTTCCTGACTCAACGTAAGCTACAGCGCACATTTTATTCAATCTAGCAATATTTGTTGGGGACCTACTATGTATCAAGCGTTGTTCTAGGAGTTGAGATTAAACGGTGATCAAGGTAGATCAAGTACCTCTTGTGGACCTTAGATATTAGTTGAGAGAGACAAGGTAATAAGCAAAGAAGAAAAATATCAAATGGTGAGAAGTGCTATATAAGAAATTAAAATAGGATAATATGAATGTCTCTGGATACTTAAGATTGGAGAATTAGGGGCCCGCTGGTGGCGCAGCAGTTAACTGCTCATGTTCTGCTTTGGCAGCCTGGGCTTCACCCGTTCGGATCCTGGGTGCGGACTTGGCACCACTTGGCAAAAGCCATGCTGTGGTAGGCATCCCACGTATAAAGCAGAGGAAGATGAGCACGGATGATAGCTCAGGGTCAGTCTTCCTCAGAAAAAAGAGGATTGGCAGATGTTAGCTCAGGGCTAATCTTCCTTGAGAAAAAAAGAAAGATTGAATAATTAGGGAAAATCCCCAAGGAGATAACACTTAACTGAAATCTGAATGACAAAAGTAGCTGACATTTCCTGAGCTTTAACTACATGCCAGGCATTGTTTGAAGTTTTTTTATGTGTAGGCTCACTCAATCCTCACCACAACTTTCTGAGGTTGTTACTATTACCCTCATTTGACAGACAGGAAGCTGGATTAGTAGAGCTCACATTCTAAACCACACGCTCTACTGCTGGCCTTATGGAAAGAGTGAAAATGAGAAAAGGGAATTCACTGCCAGTCCCCGAAAACAGGAAGGAGCTGGGCTTGTTCAAAGGAAGGAAGCCAGTTTGGCTGAACTCTAGTAGGTAAGGTTAAGAAGATAAGGGGAGGTGACCAAGGAAGGCCACTTATACAGGGCTTGAGTGAGCAGGGGAAGGAGTTTAGATTTTATTCTGAGTGTTATAGAAAGGCTAATGAGTGTTTAAACAGAGGGATGATATTCTGCTTACTTATTGCTGCGTAATAAACCACCCCAAAATTTAATGGCCTAAAACAAGAACTTATTATTTCTCACAGCTTGGGGGTTGACGGCCCTGTTTGGAACCCTTCATACTCAGACTGTTGCAGTTAGATGGCAGCTGGGGCTGGAGTCATCTGCAGGCTTTTTCACTCGCATTTCTGGTTCCTGGGATGAGATGACTGGAACAACTCAGGGTTGGGGCTAGGGAAGGGGACAGGAAGGAGCGGGTGCTGGGGCTGGTCGGGCATCTCTGTCAACAGGCAGCCTCTCCATGTGACTAGATTGGGCATTCACACAACGTGGCCATCTCAGGATAGTCAGACTTCCTACATGACAGCTGTCTCCCCCTACAGTGAAGTAGAAGCTGCCAGTCTCTTAGAGCCTGGGTCCAAAAACTGGCCTGGAGTCACTTTTGCAATATTCTGTTGTAAAAGCAGTCACAGAGCAACTGTTATTCCAGGGGAGGGGAGATAGATCCATCCCACCTTTTGATGAGAAAAGTGATGAAGAATTTGTGGCCGTCTTTAAGCTACCAGAGAAAAGAGTCCTTTTTGCATTTTATGGGGATCATTCTGGCTGCTGGGAGCCGGCTGGGGAGGAGTCGTCAGATGCTCCTTCATTAGGCTTCGACAGCATCCTGTGGCTGTCTTTATCAATACAGATCACACAGTTCTGCAGTTATTTGTTTATATATCTGTGTTCTCCACTGGCCTGAGCTCCTTGAGGATAAAGACTCTCTCATCCCTGAATCCCCAGAATCTAGTAGCTCATACTAGATAATAAATGTTTTATGACTCAAAGAATAATTATAAACATAATCAGAGGGAGACCAAAGCATTAAAAGTCATGAGTATACTTTTACGTATTTCCGTTACAATTATATCATATCTAATTGTGATGTAGGCACAAGATCTAGCTTTTAAAACTGTTTTGCATTTCTCAGATTAAAACACTGAGTAGGGGCCAGCCCCGTGGGCGAGTGGTTAAGTTTGTGCGCTCGCTGCAGCGGCCCAGGGTTTCACTGGTTCGGATCCTGGGTGCGGACATGGCACCACTCGTCAGGCCACCTTGAGGCAGCGTCCCACATGCCGCAACTAGAAGGACCTGCAACTAAGATAGACGACTATGTGCCGGGGGTGATTTGGGGAGATACAGCAGAAAAAAAAGAAACACTGAGTAATGCTTTAGCATTTATGATCCTATCTAAAGATAACTTTTGTGAATTTTAACTCTTCTTTATGAGTAATTAATATTTCATCATTTTTATACTGAGAAAGTTTTCAAAATAAAAATTTTTAATATTTCTTAAAAATATCTCATTCATAAATCAGCAATTTTTGTTAGTGTCTGCCCTATGCAAGACTCTTAGTGGAAGAAATTGCAAAGAACTAGAAGTCTCATTTGGAGAATGAACATTTTAGTTGTAGGGCAGTGGAAGGCTTAGGAAAGAGCAGGGTCAGTAGTCCAAAAAGAATGAATGAAAAACAGTGGAAAATAGTCTAAAAATAAGCTTCTTTATGATTGTGAGAAAATTATCTACAACTGTTTGCTTGATTTTAACCTAAATTAATGAAATTCTTAACTATTACATTCTATTTTAGGTATCCTGAAGCCATTTATGTTGTTTATACTGGCGATATTAATGTCAACGGTCAGCAGATACTAGACGGCGCTTTCAGAAGATTTAACATCAGATTGATGCGGCCCGTGAAGTTTGTTTTCTTAAGGAAACGCTACCTTGTGGAAGACTCACTCTATCCGCACTTCACACTGCTGGGCCAAAGTCTAGGATCCGTTCTTCTTGGCTGGGAAGCTCTGACGCAGTGTGTCCCTGATGTGTACATCGATTCAATGGGATATGCTTTCACGCTTCCTCTGTTTAAGTATTTAGGTGGTTGTCGAGTTGGAAGCTATGTTCATTATCCCACCATCAGCACTGACATGCTATCTGTAGTGAAGAATCAAAACACTGGGTTTAATAATGCAGCCTTCATTACCAGGAATCGTTTTCTCAGCAAAGTAAAGCTCATCTACTACTATTTATTTGCTTTTGTTTATGGACTTGTCGGTTCTTGCAGTGATGTCGTCATGGTCAATTCCTCTTGGACACTAAACCACATTCTCTCACTGTGGAAGGTCGGGAATTGCACTCACATAGTTTACCCACCTTGTGATGTGCAGACATTTCTGGACATTCCCTTACATGAGAAAAAGACGCCAGGACATTTACTGGTGTCTATTGGCCAGTTCCGGCCCGAAAAGAATCATCCTTTGCAGATCACAGCCTTTGCTAAATTGCTGAGTAAGAAGGAGGCTGAGTTACTTCCTTCCCTCAAACTCGTCCTCATTGGAGGTTGTCGGAACCAAGACGACGAACTTAGGGTAGACCAACTGAGAAGGCTTTCTGAGGATCTCGGAGTTCAGGAAAATGTGGAATTTAAAATAAACATTCCATTTGATGAATTAAAGAATTACTTATCTGAAGCAACAATTGGTCTGCATACCATGTGGAACGAGCATTTTGGAATTGGTGAGTTTGTCCTTTAAAACAACTTGTTTGGTGCCATGAGATATACATTTTAGATTGTTTTGATAAAAAATAGTCTGGAAGTTTTCATCAAGTCCTAATTCTCCTCCCCTAGTCCACCGAGTGTGCTTTCCTCAGTGGAGATCCTTTAAGACATAATGATATGTAGTTGATAATAATAGCTAATATTTGGCGCCAGCCTGGTGATGCAGCGGTTAAGTTCACACGTTCCACTTCAGCGGCCCAGGGTTTACCATTTCAGATCCCGGGTGCAGACCTATGCACTGCTTGTCAAGCCGTGCTGTGGCAGGCATCCCACATATAAAGTAGAGGAAGATGGGCATGGATGTTAGCTCAGGGCCAGGCTTCCTCAAAAAAAAAGCAAATAGCTAATATTTATTGACTGCTTCTGTGTGTGGGTCACTGTTGAGGTCTTTACAAGTATTATCTAATTTAATCCTCTCTAAAACCCTCTTTGATAGGTATTATTGTTATTTCCGTTTTATAAATAAACTCAGACATGGAAAGATTTAGAACTTGCCCAAGTTCCATCCCACAGAAAGAGGCGGAGCCCGGATTCTAACCCAGAGAGCCTCTGCGCTTAGCTCCTACATTTCCTCTCCCCACCAAACCCCAGCCACATCCTGGGACAGATTCCTGGGCCCTACCCCATCCCGCTGAAGGACCACATCAGGATCTCCGGGTGGGGCCCAGGTAGAGGTATTTTGGTAAAGCTCCTCAGGTGATTCTGTTATGGACCAAAAGCTGAGAACCACTGTCTCTAGGTGGGCTTGTCAGAGTAATTCTTTTAGTTCTTTTATTGATTCTGTACTCGTTATTGGAGTGGCCTCTCCTTTCTGCCAAATCCCATCATAAGTGTTCAACTTAAATCTCCTTGCCCTTCACTTTAGCCTGCCTTGTTTATTCCAGCACGAACTGCTCTCTCCACTCTGACCTCCTGTTGTGCACACATTTTGGTATAAAATCAAGTACTGTTTTGTGTCTCATTTGGTTCCACATATATTTCTCATGTGCCTACTTTGTGCCTCTCACTGTAGGAAAATATAAATGTGAAGTTTGCTACCCAAAGGCTACGGTTCCCCTTATCCTCCTTCCAGCCCTGGTTCGTAGCACAGTACTAAGCTCAGACGTACAGCAAGACTTGTTGATCCGAACCTTCTGCATGGAGCCTTCCACGGATACTTATTGAGCATTTACGGTGCCAGGCACAGGGGTGGGTGCTGGAAGTATGACTATGAAATAGGAGCTGTTCTTCCCCTCAGAGGCTGACAGCTCTGCGAGTGCTGTTGACAGGTTGGCCAGGCATTTACTGTACAGTGTGCCAAGTCTGTGCTAGGGAAGAGTGGGGTGATGGGGAAACACCTAAGAGAAACGCCTAACGCAGACTCATGGGATCAGAGAACAATTGGCCGAGGAAATGATGTGACATGTAAGCTGGGGCCTGGAGAATAATTAGAAGTTAGCCATGCAAAAGAGGGGAGAGTATCCAGCAGAGGGAATAGCATTGTGACAGAAGGCGCAAAAGGAGCATTGGCAGGCATGTTCAAGGAAATGAGTGTGGTACAGCTGCAGCATGAGGATGCAGCAAGACGATGGAGAGGTGATCTGCAGCCAGATCACACGGCCGTGTTGAGCAAGTGGGACAAGCTAGAAAGATTTTCAGTATTGGGTTTAAAAGCTCTTTGTCTCCTGAAGTTCACTCTGGCTGCAGTGGGGGGAGTGGGTCGGTGAGGAGCAGGGAGAGCAAGGCTACAAAGGCGGGAGACGAGTTGGGCTGCAGCAGCCTAGGTGAGAGGTGCTGGTGCTCGGAACTTGCTAGGTGCACACGCTTGAGGGAGATTCTGAAGCGGTAGTGAACAGGCCTTGTGATTAATTGGGTGTGCTAAATGAGGGAGGAAGAGGAGTCGGAGAGGACCGCCTAGGGTTTGCAGTTTGGACACCTGTGTGAATGGTGATGGCTTTCACCAAGAGAGGGAATAGAGGCAGGTGATGAGCCACATTTCGAGCATGTAGAGTTTGAATTGTCTGGGGGACATACAAGTGTGTGTGTCCAGCAGGCAGTTGTATATATGAGACGGAAGTCTAGGGGAAGGACCTGAGGCGGCAATAGAGAGTGGGGAGTTGTCCTTGGCACCACTCGTCAGGCCATGCTGAGGTGGCGTCCCACACAGCACAACCAGAAGGACCTACAACTAGAATATACAGCTATGTACTTGGGGGCTTTGGGGAGAAGAAAATAAAAAGATTGGCAACAGATGTTAGCTCAGGGCTACTCTTTGGGAAAAAAAGAGTCAAGTTGTGGTAAGCTAAGCATTGAGTACAGGTGAGCAAGTGGGGTTAGAGTGCAAACCACACTTTCCATAAGTTTATCTGTAAAAGGGAGGTGAAAGAAGAGACGACAGCTAGAGGAGGACTTGTGACCTGAAGAGGTGTGTGCGTGCGCCTTGTTTTTAGGAGTTTGAACTAGCTGAAATGCTGATAGGAAGGAGCCAGCGGAGAGGGAGAGGTGCCAGACCCTGGAGGGAGAGGGTAAGATCGATTGGATGGAGATCTCTGAGAGAGTGCAGAGGAGTGGTATCCAGCCTTGCACGGAATATGATGGGGTAATCCGTATTTTTCAAATAAGAGTTCAAATTACAGCATTAGCAGAAAATTCTGTTTTGTAGAGACTTGCCCAGTGTTGAGGAAACAGTTGTAATGATTTAACTTCTCTGCTACGCATCTAGAATAATATCAGCTCTGAGCCATCCTTTGGAGAGGTGAGGGAAAGTCAGCTAAATAATTTTCTGAAAGGCTTAATTCTCTCTAGAAGGGAGGTTAAGAAAGGCTGGCTAGGGGGGCCGGCCCCGTGGCCAAGTTAAGTTCACGTGCTCTCCTCTGGAGGCCTAGGGTTTTGGTGATTCGGATCCTGGGTGCGGACATAGCAACACTCATCAGGCCATGCTGAGGCGGCGTCCCACATTCCCACAACTGGAAGGACTCACAACTAAATAATAAACTACTGTGTACTGGGGGATTTGGGGAGAAAAATCAGGGGGGAGAAAAAGAAGATTGGCAACAGTTGTTAGCTCAGGTGCTAATCTTAAAAAAAAAAGAAAGGCTGGCTAGAGTAGTTCATACCCTCACCCACATCATTTAGCAGAAACTAACCAAAACTTTCATTTAGTTCAACCCTGCTATTGGGCACACAGTTGTCTCAGACCTGCCAGCAATCCAGGAAGTACAATCCCGCAATAGTATGCTTCACTAAGGTGCCTTACTTTTTTTCTAATGCTGTAATTTGAATTCTTAAAATTTGCTTTTGGTATGTTTTTACTCCTTTTATCTTTCAATATCCATGAATTATCTACCATTTTGGTAAACATTCTCTAGTCTTTTACTTTATCTCCAGTATATCTGTTTTTTATAAACTATTCTTCCGTCTACTTGTCTATTTTAATTAAGAACAAAGCGGCATTATTGTGAAGCTTTGAAAACCAAAAAACTTGAAATTATTTTATTTTGCACCATGGAACTTAAATGAGCAAATTTATAGACGAACAGACATTTAATTGAGTTTCTCATGAGGCTCTTAAAATGTTTGAAGGGTTCTGCTCCTCTTTGTTCTTATGAACACATTCAGAAACTTAAAAGACGACATGATTTTTGTTTCTTTCTCAGGAGTTGTCGAGTGTATGGCAGCTGGCACAATTATCCTTGCACACAATTCAGGGGGCCCGAAGCTTGACATTGTCATTCCTCATGAAGGAGAGAGAACTGGATTTCTGGCTGAAAGTGAAGAAGGCTATGCTGAAACTATGGCTCATATTCTTTCCATGTCTGTGGAAAAGAGACTGCAAATCAGAAACAATGCTCGTGCATCTGTAAGCAGATTCTCCGATCAGGAGTTTGAAGTGACATTCCTATCATCTGTGGAGAAGTTATTTAAATAATGCCATATCTGTATAAATTAAAGATATTTTATATAAATGGTTAAACACCTTCATATGTTAATATTTTTCTAAACTCGTCCCCTATTGTAGTAAAGTCAGCCTAAGCAGTGCGCTCAGAAGTATCTATCTAGGCAAGGTATTTATTGCCAGGAAAAAGGGCTGCCTTTCCTAAATGGAAGAGGTAACCTTATATAGTTTCAATGTAAAAATTTTAGATTAGTATTTGGTCTCAAATTCTGAAAAATGTGAATCTGAAAGAAAAAAAGGAACAATCTTAATTTGGGTATAATCCAGATTTTTAAAATCCTATTTGTCAAATCTCTACTTTAGAAACCAGGAAAGAGAATTTTCTTTTAGAAAAAAGGAAATGTTGAAAGAAAAATGGATGACTGATAATTGATTAGTACTTTAGAGTTGTTCTGACATGGAACCCAAAAATTCTGGTACATTAAATGCTAAACAATATTGTGGATGACCTTTTTGAATATATCTAATGATTTTCTTAAAAGAAGAAAGAAACTCTAAGCAGGCTTAATCATGTTCCAAAAGCATACAGTCAAAAGACCAACTGACTGACTGCTCTGTGGGTGTGTGTAGGCGCGTAGAGGCCACCGGACTGCCGGCAGTCCTTTCCATAACTGGGTGTTTGTGAAAATAACTTTTTGTTTAGTCCTGGCAGTACGTCTGAACTGATACAAGGGAGTAGTCTCACGATCCCTTAACCCTTCCACACCTCAGAGGCCGGAAGTCAGCTTCAAGTCGTTCAAGAGGTCTGAGTGAGAACGTCATAAATTGTTTTTCAGATAGTAATGATGTAATATACGGATCCGTTCACACAGTCTCTGTTGTCATCATCATGCATTATAAGATAACAAGGTGGCATTTTGCAAAGAGCATCTGACTAGCAGTTAGAATACCTGGGCCTGACCTCAGCGTCATCATTTACAAACGTCTGACCTTTTGACGCTTAATCTTTCTGAAACTTGGACTCTTCATCCATAATCTGCACGTGGTAATACCTGTCCTCACTACCTTTTAGAGTTGTGATACTGAGATGGGAAGTATTTGAAAGTACTTCAAAAATTATAAAAGTTACTTTAATTAAAGGCGACAATATATAGTCAATGTCCTCTATAATCCTGTCTTTATCAGTGCATTGGGACTCGACTCTATACAGAGTCTTGGTTACTAAACCAGTAGCTAGGAATGAGTATAAATTTACCAGGACTTCTATCCTCAGTAACTAGCATGGAAAGGTACTATAAGCATGTGCAGCTATAGCAATGGAGACCTATAAGGGTTGGCACTTTCTGCATTCATAATCAATTCCTCCTTGTTCAGTAAATTGACCTCCTTCACAGTCTATACATCTTTGTGTTAGGGGCATGTAAAAAGGGTATATTTTTCCTTTCCAGTCTCCTCCCGTCCATTCATCCCACCAGTCAGCTTCATTATCTACTCCCCATTACATTGCTGACTCCTCTGCAGGCCATCTTTGTCATCAGATCAAAAAGCAGCAAAACTGAGTCCCAGGGTGTTCTGACACACCAACATAGTTTTGTGTTGGAGCTTATTCAGTTTAGGAAAGAAAGACTAGTGGAAATTGGGGCTAGAAGGAACCCTACAAATTCTCTAGTCTAGTTTTATTATTTTCAACTTTACAGACAAGAACGATTTAAGGAACTCAGAGTCCTTCAGTATCACAAAGCTGTTTAATGGCAAAAGTAGGATTATAAACTGAAGTTCTGACTCCCAGCCCCGTGCTTTTGCTCATCTTATAGTTAGTGTTTGAGATAAGATTCATACCATTGCCCACTCAGCCTACCATCTACCCAAAGACAATCAGGGGGCTAAAGATTAAAAAATTGAGATGGACAGAGCAAAAGTAGAGGATGTAGTAAAGGAAGAAATCATTCTGGAATTCCATAAAACATTTTTTAAGCTGGTTTCTTCAAAATGATTTTCATTTATCACAAACATATCATTGGAAAATATCACTTGCATGTACATTCACTTTCAATGTTCCTAATGTGGTATTCTCTGGTTTTTTTCTGAATGACTGATACCGTGAAAAGTGTGAAAGCAATATGTCAGCTCCTGTCTGTCTGGAGAATCTCTGGGGGACCATGGATTCCTGGAAGACGTTGCTTTTCAGTGGTCCAAGCATGCTGTGTTTTGAACCCACAGCAGTGGTGACTCACATTCTCCCAGCTGTGCACAATAAAGTACATGATACATGTTCTTTGTATAATAAAGTATTTGTATCTAAATATGATGTAGATCTTGTAGATACAAAATCTATTTGTATCTAAGTATGACAAAGAAGTGATTTGCATTATCTTGGAAACTTTCCCCAGTGTGGTGCCTTTTATACCCCTCATGTAGTCTCCCAATTCTGAATTAGTATCTACTACTATTTCCAAGCTCCACATGCCAAAAAAAATGTGGGTTTTTTTGAGGAAGATTAGCCCTGACCTAACATCTGCCAATCCTCCTCTTTTTGCTGAGGAAGACTGGCCCTGAGCTAACATCCGTGCCCATCTTCCTCTACTTTATATGTGGGACACCTACCACAGCATGGCTTGCCAAGCAGTGCCATGTTTGCACCCAGGATCTGAACCAGCGAACCCCGGGCTGCCAAAGCAGAACGTGCGAACTTAACCGCTGTGCCACCGGGCCGGCCCCAGAAATTTTTTTTTAAAGAAAGAAAGAAGTCTTTTTAAAAGACAAAACAAAACTGTCTTGCCTCTAGTACCCAGGAATAGGTTGTCAGGGTTAACTGACTTTTTTTAAATGAATGTTTCAGACATACAAAAAACTGTGGAGCTTCATACACTTTATTTTAATAATTTTCAGGTATTTTACAAAGTCCTCTCATAGACAAAATTATGAGATAGTTGCCAGTATGATTATCAGTGCTTTCAGAATCTTTGTGTTTAATTATGTAAATATACTCTAGACTCCAAGACTATGATATGAATAAATAAACAAAGGAGACTGTGTCTGTGTAAATCTGTCACTGGGTACAACAAAAAAATTACTTGTTAAACCACAAACAATTGTAGTGCTCACGAGAATTCTATTATGCTTCTGTAATTTACCCAACCTCTTCCCTGTTCATCTGTTCCTTTTCCTCTTTCCCCACCCATCTTGACAAAAGCATATTCAGTATCACTAAAGAAATTTCAAAATCACGGTTTATAAAATGACATTCTTTATTTTTAATCTTTTATTTAAAGTTTTCTATCGCTGTCTTAAATTACCACAAACTAAGTTAAAACAACACAAATTTATTATCTTACAGTTCTATAGGTCAGAAATCTAAAGGGGATTTCATTAGGCTACAGTCAAGTTGTTGGCAGAGCTGTGTTCCTTGGGCAGGCTTTGGGGAAAATCCATTTCCTTACCTTTCCCAGCTTCTAGAGGCTGCTTGCATACCTTTGCTTTGGCCCCTTCCTCCATCTTCAAAGCCAGCAGCATCAGGCCAACTGCCCCTCACACTGCCATCTCTCTGATTCTTCTGCCTCCCTCTTCCACTTTTAAAGATTCTTTTATTTTTTGGTGACGAAAATTGGCCCTGAGTTAACATATGTTGCCAATCTTCCTCTTTCTGCTTGAGGAAGATTGTCACTGAGCTAACATCTTTGCCAATCTTCCTGTATTTTGTATGTGGGATGCCTCCACAGCATGGCTTGATGAGCAATGTGTAGGTCCACACCCAGCATCTGACCCTCTTAACCCCGGGCCTCTGAAGCAGAGCACATGAACTTAACCACTGTGCCACTGGGCCAGCCCCTAAAAATTCTTATGATTATGTTGGGCCCACCTGGATAAACCAAGATATCTCCTCTATTTTAAGGGTAGCTGATTAGCTGGAATTAACCTTAATTCCATCTGCAACCTTAATTCCCCTTTGACATGTAACAATATATTCACAGTTTGGGGAGGGGGCGCCGCATTACCCTGCCTACTACATATATTATTTTAAGGATTTCTTAATAGAAATTTTAAAGTAAAAATAGTAATTTGTAAACTCAAAAGTTAGTCCTGTTGTCTAAATTGATAGAACAATTAGTAAGTTCTTGGGATCACTAGAAAATCCTTACAATAAATGAATATTTATGACTTGTACCCAAACAGATACTACAGCTAATAGATCTTAACTTGTTGCTTAAGAAAAAGCACAATAATCACATGTATATTTTGACTGGTTGTTGGTAGTGTTGACTTGGTCTTCATCAACAATACAAATTTTGTCATTAGCAGGAATAGAAACGTTCTCCAAGCCTTCCTTTAGTCTGCCTGTTTCTGCACATTCAGCCCCTCTCTGTCTCCTAACTTCTCAGAGTCCTTGAGGAACCGCAGGCCTCCCCTCTTTTCTCTTCCTCTTTGGAAACAGCGAGTTTTTCCAGGGATTCTACTACTTCATTTCTCAACTCATCTTCAGATTCTTCAAAATTTCTGAAATAATAAACAGTAAAAATCAACTTTATGATAGCAAAACACTGAAGAATAAGTACAAAAATTAGTGTCCCTTCTCTTTTCCCACCCGCACTTGAGCAATAGGAAATTGCATTTTCACCCAGGTAATAGATTATCATATCCGCCTGATTTCTCTAAAGATGATAAACAACCAATGTTGAGAGAATGAGTCTTCTGTTTAGTTGGACTTGTGTTCGACAACCTTCGTTATGTTTATTAGTACCCATCTACTCTCACATTTCAAAGGAGAAGACGGAAGAGAAAAAAAGAAAAGAAAATGGGCTGCCATATATTGAGCCCTGACTGTACGCCAGTCACTGCCCTAGAGCACTTGACACACACTATATTTCGTCTAATACTAACAACACTTGAGGTAGACACTATTATCATCAATTTATAAAGAATCTGGGCTCAGGGGCTGGCCCCATGCCATAGTGATTAAGTTCAGTGCTCTCTGCTTCAGCGGCCCAGGTTTGTGGGTTCGGAGACTGGGCACAGACCTACACTACTTGTCAGCCATGCTGTGGTAGTGACCCACATATAAAGTGGAGGAAGACTGGCACAGATGTTAGCTCAGGGCTAATCTTCCTCAGGCAGTGTAGGGGCAGGAAGGGGTGCAGAGCTAGGCTCAAAGAGGTTAAAAAAATGTGCCCAAGGTCCCACAGCTACTAATTAGTAGGACCAGGAATTGAAATTGTGTCTAAAACTGCAACACTGATACTTTTAGAAGGAAGAAGGCCGGAGACCCAAAAAACCATCTCAAAAATCACTAATATTTAAGTGGCAAGTGAAAGAGACTGGGGAAGAGCTGGTAAGAGCCAAGAGCATTCATCCCAGAAGCCAAGGAAGCAGGGAATTTCGAAAAAGGGGGAGCAGCCAAATAAGATGAGGACTGAGAGATGACAATCGGACTTGGCAATTTCAAGGTAATAGATGAGCTTTGCAAGAATATTTCAGAGTGCTATGTAGCAGGAGCCACCATACAGTGGATCAAGAATGCAGTGGGAGGTAAGAAAGTGATGACAATGAGCTTAACCAACTCTGAGGGGAGCCCAGCTCTGAAAGGACAATGCTATGTAGAGAACATGAGGGCAATGGTTTTTTGGTATTTTTCAAGATGGGGGAGATTTGGGTGTGTTTCTATGCTGAGAGAAAGTAGGTAATAGACATTGAAAATAAAGGAGAAAAGTAGATGAACTGATAGGAACAAGGTCACTGAGAAAAGGCTGAGATTCAGATCAACGATGGGCTTTACAAGAAGGGAGGTAGTATTTCCTCTGATAAGGAAGATAGGGAGAGAGAAGGAGATAAGGGCTCACGTGGATATAAAGAAGTTATGTAACAATCGAGATGATTTCACCTACAAACCACGTACTTTCTCTGTGAAGTAGGACGCTGGGTCACATGATAAGAGCAAAGTGGATGAGGGTGAGTGCCCAGGGCTGAGGGTTTCAGAAGAAAGCAGATCAGGCACAGGATTGTTAGATATCACAGAGGACCCCACTAAAATTTACTTGTCAGTGCCCTTGAATCAATGACTCCTAGCGACCCTGTGTAGCAGGGCGGAACCTTGCCCAGTCCTTTTGCGCCATCCTCTCACCTTCCAGCACTCTATCAGACGATGCTCTGGGGCTATTCACAGGGTTTTCATAGCCAAATTTTTTTGGAAGTGGGTGGCCAGGACCTTCTCTCTAGTCTGTCTTAGTCTGCAAGCTCTGCTGAAGCCTGTCCTCCATAGGTCACCCTGCTGGTATTTGAAGTGCCGGTGGCATAGCTTCCAGCATCACAGCAACACCCAGCCACCACAGTGTAACAACCAACAGACGGATGGTGTGCTTCTTCGACTGGGAAACAAACCCCGGCTGCAGTGGTGAGCGTGCCAGATCTCAGCCTCTAGACCACCGCGGCTGGCTCCACTAAAATTGGAGATCCTACATTTAGGGTCGACCCGTGATTGCAGCTCCCATTTGCTAGGCTATCATTACTGAGGGATGTGCTTAAACAGCACCTTCCCTTTGTCTTCATTCCTCCACGGCTTAAGCAATATGGCTATGTGTGAATTTCCTTTCACGGTTCCTGCTTGATTATTGTTCTGTTTCCCAGATATTGTGATTCACGACTTTCAATAATTATAAAAAGTTTACAGTTATAATTGCTTTGAATATTGCTTTTCCCCTAGTCTCTTCTTCTGGAATTCCTTTTAGATGGACCTTCATGCCTCTTAACTCCTCTTTCACATTTCCCAGCTTTTTTTTCCCTCAGATCTATCTTCCAGTTACTAATTTCTTCATTAACTGTACCTATTCTGTTTTTTAAACTGTTGGTCAAATTTTAACTTCTATTAGAAGGATTTTTTACTTCCAGAAGTTCTCTTTGGTTAATTATCAAATCTTCCTGCTCTTTTTTGATGGATCTCCTTTTCTCTCATGTTTGATTCCTTATTTTAATCAAATAATTTTAAATATACAATATTAATTATTATACAAATATTAAATAATCATAAGATAATTATATTACCTGAAATTCTTTATGGTCTAATGCAGCTATTTGCTGTGTTTGCTATCTCTCATAATGGATTCCGTTTTTGAAATTGGAACTGTGAGCTCATCTTAAGCAGTACTTGAGTGAGAAAACTCAGTGTGGCCTGGACTGAAATTCTCTCTCTCCAGAGTGTTTTATATTTACTTCTTCTACAGACCCCAGGGTATTATGATCCCTTACTATTAATTTTAATGTTAATTTCTCAACATACACGTTTCCAGATCTCCCAAGTATTGTAAATTCAAATTCCAAACCCAAATGAAGGCAAATCCATGGTTATAAATTTCTCAGGAAAAATTTTTCTCCCGGGGTTGGGCCAACACAGACACGCAACATTACTGGAATTTTTCAAGACCACTCTTGCCCTGAGGTGTAGCTCTTCAAGTATTCCAGCTAGCAAGAATGGAGGGGAACCCTCTGAAGAAAACAAAAACCTATTAGATACGTGGGAGGTACACAGAGATAGGAAGGGGAGGAAAAAAATTAAAAACACAAAAAACCCTCCAAAACAAAATGAGCCCACAAACTAAAATTCCGTAACACGTGAGTAAATCTAATGGTAAGAAAGATGGGTAAGGGGCTGGCCCTGTGGCACAGCGGTTAACTTCGCACGTTCTGCTTTGGCAGCCTGGGGTTTGCTGGTTCGGATCCCAGGTACAGACATGGCACCACTTGGCACGCCATGCTGTGATAGGTGTCCCACATATAAAGTAGAGGAAGATGGGCACGGATGTTAGCTCAGGGCCAGTCTTCCTCAGCAAAAAGAGGAGGATTGGCAGCAGATGTTAGCTCAGGGCTAATCTTCCTCAAAAAATAAATAAATAAATAAATAAATAAGAAAGATGGCTAAAAACAACAAAAAACTTGGACCATGAACTAACTCCAAATGAAATTACTTTTATGGAGGATTTTTTATTCATATTTATTTATTTACAAACTCTTGTGCAAGGGCTGACTTTCAATAGATCACAGCAAGGGAGGAAGATTTTGATAAAGCTCTTTAAGCAAGTATGTCAAAGCACAGCATCCATTTAAAAATATTTATTTTATTTTATTTTTAAAGATTTTATTTTTCCTTTTTCTCCCAAAGCCCCCCTAGTACATAGTTGTGTATTTTTAGTTGTGGGTCCTTCTAGTTGTGGCATGTGGGACACTGCCTCAGCGTGGTTTGATGAGCAGTGCCATGTCCACGCCCGGGATTCGAACCAGTGAAACCCTGGGCCGCCGAAGTGGAGCGTGTGAACTTAACCACTCGGCCACGGGGCTGGCCCCTAAAAATGGTTTTAAATTATGAGAAATAATCATGCAATAATGAGACAAGAATATATAAATATGAGAAACAACTATTATAAATCTTAGACATTAAATATGTAATCATTTAAATTAAAAACTTAATAGATCTTTCCCAGATAGTTTTGAAACACGATATTCAAGAATTCACCTAGAATGAAACGAAGAGCAGAATAAAAATACATTAGGAGTCACTGGGACAGATTGAGGAGCTCCAAAATACATCTAACTGGAGGACTAAAACGGAGGGAGTAAGAAGAGCAGTATTTGGAGAAATAACAGGCAAAAATTCTCCAGGATTAAAGAATGCCATGGAGTCTCAGAAGAAAGTGAGCCAAGCAGAGAAAAGACAAATCCAGACCTAGACATACCACAGTGAAATATAAGAACATAAAGATGAAAAGAAAATTATGCAAATACCATGGAGAAAGTTAGCATATCCCTAAAGGAAAAACAACTAGCTGATAGCAGATTTCTTTTTTTTTTCCCCAAAGATTGGCACCTGAGCTAACATCTGTTACCAATCTTCTTTTTTTTTCCCTTCTTCTTCTCCCCAAAGCCCCCCAGTACATAGTTGTATATTCTGGTTGTGAGTGCCTCTGGTTGTGGCATGTGGGACGCCGCCTCAGCATGGCCTGACAAGCGGTGCTATGTCCGCACCCAGGATCCAAACCAGCAAAACCCTGGGCCGGCACAGTGGAGTGCGCGAACTTAACCACTCAGCCACGGGGCGGGCCCCTGATAGCAGATTTCTCATCAACAGTAATACAGACCAGGAGAAAAATAAGTCAACCTAAAACTGTATGCTTAGATAAATGACTGCTAAAGATTGAAGGTAAAATAAGAACCATTTTGGATATGTAAACAACAAAACTTTCTTACCCGCTGACCTATCTTAAAGAATTATTAAAGGATATACATCAACAAGAAAAAAACTGAAACCAGAGGGAAAGCAAGGGCTAGTAAAAACCATGGCCAATTCAGAAAACAATAAACCACACTGGCAAGTTGAATTAAGTTTAATAAAAAATATTCATTTTAAAAAAGGTAAAATTAGTTGAAATGATTTGATGTCTGACACAATATTCCAAACTTATTTTTAAAAAAATGTGTAGGGGATGTGGGTGGAGTAAAGAAAAATGTTGGTCATTGTTAAAGCTAGTTGATGGATACATGAAGGTTCATTTTGCTATTCTCTCTACTTTTACTGTGAAGTTTTCCACAATAAAAAAAGTTTTTAAAAGTAAAATTATAACTCTATATAACAATATCACAATGGAAGTATTTACTGCTTATTTAAATTATGCTTATCATGTTTGGGAGGAAAAAGGGAATACCAAGCAACTTTTGAATTTATTAGATCAATTTGTAGGTGATGCATAAAAGTGAACTATTAAAAAAATAGAAATATAATCTCTATCTTCAAAACTAGTACAGAGGAAAAAAAAGTAATATAGAAAAATCTACCCACCTAACAAAAGGCTAGAAAAGAAAAGGGAGAAAAGGAAATGAGAAATGATGGTAAACAGAAAACACAAAATCAAGCTTGAAGCTTGAGCTTTGAGTAAAGCCAAATATGTCAATAATTATACTGAATTTTCTTAGATTAAACTAATTAAAAGACAGAGATTATCACATGACCAGCGCCATATCAACCAGCCACATGCACTTTATAAGAAGCAGATCATAAAGAAAGCACATGGAAACCATGAAAATAAAAGAATAGAAGAAGAGACATCATAAACATACTAAAAAATAAAATAAAAAGTTTAGAAAGTTGGAACAGTAATATCAGTATGAGACAAAATAGAATTTAAAGCAAACAGCATTAATAGCAACAAAAAGTGACAATACATAATGCAAAAAAAGGGACACTCTACCCAACTGATATAACAATCGTAATTTAGAATATGGCTTCTAAATATTTAAAGTACATTGAAAAGGAGATAGAATTATGAGGAGAAATCATCAAACCACAAACATAGTTGAAAATTTTAATGTACCTCTATCAGGAAATGAGAAAACAGAAAAAAAAAAAAAGATTACAGAATACTTTAACAAAACTGTTTTAAGCTTAATATAATAGATAATTATATTGAACATATATACTCCCAAAATAGTAAGAATTGCATGTTTTTCAAGTACGTATGTAACAGTCATAAAATTGACACTGTACTAAATAACAATAGGAGTCCCAATAATTTTTTTCCCCCTAAGGAAGAGTCACCATGAGCTAACATCCACTGTCAATCCTCCTCTTTTTGCTTGAGGAAGATTGTTCCTGAGCTAACATCTGTGCCAGTCTTTCTCTATTTTGTATGTAGGACACCTCCACAACATGGCTGATGAGTGGAGTAGGTCTGCGCCCAGGATCCAAACCTGTGAATCTGGGCTACCAAAGTAGAGTGGGTGGAACTTTAACTACTCACCCATGGGGCCGGCCTCTACATTTTTTTAAATCACCAAAATTCAGCCAACAATCTCTGTCCAAAATGCAAATAAAGTAGAAATTCTGATTTTTAAAAAGTGGTTAAATGGGACTGGCCCAGTGGCACTGTGATTAAGTGTGCATGTTCCACTTCAGAGGCCTGGGTTTCGCCAGTTTGGATCCTGGGTGCAGATATGGCACTGCTTGGCAGGCTATGCTGTGGTAGGTGTCCCATGTATAAAGTAGAGGAAGATGGACACGGATGTTAGCTCAGGGCCAGTCTTCCTCAGCAAAAAGAGGAGGATTGGCGGCAGATGTTAGCTCAGGGTTAATCTTCCTCAAAAAAAAAAATGTATATATATATATACATAAATACACAAGATATACATATTTGCTTACATCTTAATGGTATCCTCAGAAGCATGCACAAGAAGCAGATTAGATTGGTTGACTCTGGGGAGGAGAGTTGTGTGACTGAGGGAAAGAGATAGCAGGAACACTATGAAAAGAGTGTACCTTTTAAGTTTGGAACCATGTGAATATATTACCTACTTAAAAAGTAAATTATAATAAAATTTTAAAAATTCACAGGATTCCAAACTTTAAAACTAATAAGAGAGTTCAGTAAGGTTACAGGATACAATGTCGATAGCGTTCTATACAGCAGTAGTAGCCAAGTTGAAAACACAGTGGGAGAAAAATGACCCTGTTAATAATGGCAACAACAACAACAAAATTAGGTGGTGCCTATACCATGAAGAAAAGTAAAAATACTGAAGAATATTTAAAAAGACATAAACAGCTGGAGAGCTATACCATATTCATAATCACAAAAGATGTCAATTCCCATAAATTAAAAAATGTAATATTCTCATCAAAACCAACAAAGTTTTTCACGACACTTTACAAGAGAATGCAAAGACGTATCTGTTGAGTAACGGGCAACAACCTCTAAGATCATTTTGAAGAAAAAGGTGTGGAGACTGGAAGAAGGTGTGAGGACTGGCCCCACCAGATAGCAAAAGGTAGAAGAGAGTCACAGTAACTAAGACACAACATCATTGATGCAGAGAGAGAGAACAATGCCATTGGAAAGGAATGGAGAGCCCAGAAAGAAACCCACATATATCGTAAAAGCGTGGTCTGCTCAGCGAGGTCTCTGAGGCTATCTTCTACGTGTCAACAACAGCATTTGCACTTTCTAACAGTGCTTGAGTCAGGCATCCAGATGTGATGGACTTACGTATCGTCATCATCAGATCTTGGGTCTAGTTGCTCCTCATCTACCTCAGTGCCAGAGGCCAGTTCCACCTTCCCCTCCTCTTCTTTAGGAAGCCGTGGTTTCAATGCTCCCACTGTTAAAGAAATGACAGAGAGAGAGAGATTAAAGCTCCCCAGCCCATACACGGTGAGGGGTCTATACCAAAAATCCTGCAGTGAACAGCAACCATAACGGTAAAACCTTTCAATAATTTCCATTACAACAGAATGAGACACAGATGACAACTGACACCCCGACTATTCCGCATTGTACTGAAGGTCGCAGGCAACACAATAAGACGAGAAGAAATGAGAGGAACAAGGATCAGAGACAAAGAGACAAAAAACTCCCACTTCGCAGGCGAATGCTCTGATCGTACAGAAAATCTAAGAAAATTTTGTGTTGTTCAAACTTAAGAGTTGGTTATGGTTAGGCTTAATTATTAATGTCTGCAGAGAAAACTCAAAGCACAAACTCACCCCCACAGAGCTTTATCTTCTTTGGTGGCTGCAGGGTGGATTTATTGTTGGTATTTAAAATGCACTTTTTTCCTTTGGGAAAAAGATGAGACTGAAGATAGTACACTATTTCATTTCTTTACAGCAAGCCAGCGTCCTCTCAACAACTCTAAGATTCCACTGATTATAAGATGCACTTTTCTTTTACACACCCATAGCAAAGAAAATGTTCCCAATAAAATGACACATTTTTCTTAGCCCTTAGAATATATATTTTATAAATATAAATTGTTGTAAGAACTCTTTTAGTCCTTTCTAAGCATACATTTTTAATCTTCTATCACTATTGTATATTCATAAAAAGGAAAATATAAGTGACACAAATTGGATAAGGTATAATTAAAATTCCTTACATTCAGGGGCTGGCCCAGTGGCGCAGTGGTTAAGTTCACACGTTCCCCTTCTCGGTGGCCCAGGGTTCACCAGTTCGGATCCCGGGTGCGGAAATGGCACCACTTGGCAAAAGCCATGCTGTGGTAGGCATCCCACATATAAAGCAGAGGAAGATGGGCATGGATGTTAGCTCAGGGCCAGTCTTCCTCAGCAAAAAGAGGAGGATTGGCAGTAGTTAGCTCAGGGCTAATCTTCCTCAAAAAAAAAAAAGATTCCTCACATTCAGAGGCTTATTCATCTGAGCTATTTTTGTTTATTTGGTTTTTACATATCAATCAAATATTTTAGATCCTGATTCAAAGAGATCATAATAAAACAATTCATTAGAGAATTAAGGAATTTTGAATATTTTTTGAGTCATTGAGATCTGTGGGGTTTTTTATTATGGTAATATACACATAACATAAATTTATCCTGAACAATTTTTCAGTGTACAATACAGTATTGTTCACTATGTGCACATTCTTGTACAACAGATCTCTAGAATTTTATCTTGCGTGACTGAGACTCTACCCCCATTGAATAACAGTTCCCCATTTCCCCTCCCCCCAGCCCTGAGGTCATTTAAGGATCTGTTAAAAACTCTTCCACGGATTCACTGTGGATCATTTTTATGATGGTTCTCCATGAGTACGTAGCCAAAGCAGGGTCAGCACCGTAGGAGAGGAGCAAGCGGACGGTTTCCGAGGGATCATTCTCAGCGGCATCTGGGGAGGCCTGGTTCCGTCTGGCCTCTGCTGTCGGCCTCAGCGCCATCTTCCAGGAGACGTCGAGGATGCTGAGCGGCCCTCCAGCACAGGCTTCGCGCAAGCACGGCCGCCGGCGTGGTCTGGACGATTCCGGTCACAGGTCTGGTTCTCCGGGGGTCCCAGAAGGTTTCCTCAGAGCCCGCCCGCGGCCCCCCGCCTTCGTGTTGACAACAGGCCTCCGCGCTGCTCGCTGCGCTGGGCGCTGCTGGCTGGTCCCCACAGCGGGGCAGCTGCGAGGACTGGGAGGGAAGCTGGTGGGAACTGTGGCCAGTGGTCGAATCGTAGTGGGACTGGGCTCCTGCCGCTTTCTGAGTCTCCGGACGGTCACCTTGCCATCAGCATGCTCTGCGTAGTAGCCCCCTGTCGGCGACAAGCCCCGCCTGGGCTCCGGAGGGATCTAAGGCTCAGTTTTGCACCGTCTCTTCCCGGATGGTTTCTCCCTGTTGTCGGTGTATTTTTGCAGCACAGGCAGCCCGACAATCCTCTTCTTCGTGTGGGCACAGCACATCTGTCTTCCGGCTTTCTTTAATCTTTTGCCGCTTGGCAGACAGCCTTGAGGCTGGCGTGCAGCTTGGCTGTCTCCTTTTTGTCACGTGCGTGGGTGGATGAAAGGCTCTTCGTGGGCGGAGAGCCCGAGAACACAGGCAAGCCTCTGGAATATAGTACATTCTTAAGTGGTTTTTAAATGAATGATTGAAAGAGCCCGTGACTCGATGAATACGCTTCTCTTTAGTCCAAAAAATTCTGATAAGCTTTCTGTAAGTGCTCAAGTTTTTCTGTCTCCCTGTCTTTTCTGTCACCTGCCTCTGACAATTTCGCATTCCTTCAGTCTCACACTGAAATTCATTCACACTCAAATATTTGTTAAATGCATAAAATACCGACATGTCATTATTATATTTATTATTTAAATTCAAGTCATAGATACAGTAGTGATTTTATTGTGAATTTTTAGTGATTGCGATGAAAAACTTGGATCTCAAACTACTGCCTGTGTCCAGCTGGTAGGGAACCACTATTTTCAGTGATTGAGAAAACATCTGCGAGTGTTTCTCTTGCATTTCTCTACGTCTGGTTTCCTCACTTAGTGTCCCTCAAGACACTAATTCTCTGATCATAAAGTTAACTTTAATTTCTTAATATCTTTCTTTCTCGTTAAGCTCTTATCTTAGGAGAGCTGTGTCTTGATCGTCACCCGCTTGGCCTCTCCATCCCCAGTGTCTGTTAAAGTTCCCAGAAAGTGGGTGGCCATAGTGTGCATGAATGAGCATACGACCATAGCACGTTTTTAGTACTAGTTTATGCAAAAGTATGTGGTTGCCTATCAAGTTGGATAGGATGGCAATATCAACGTTAAAAATAATTCTAAGGAGGGGCTGGCCCCGAGGCCAAGTGGTTAAGTTCACGCGCTCCGCTGCAGGCAGCCCAGTGTTTCGTTGGTTCGAATCCTGGGCGCGGACATGGCACTGCTCATCAAACCACGCTGAGGCAGCGTCCCACATGCCACAACTAGAAGGACCCACAACCAAGAATATACAACTATGTACTGGGAGGCTTCGGGGAGAAAAAGGAAAAAAATAAAATCTTTAAAAAAAATTTTTTTCAAATAATTCTAACGGCCGTATAGTCTTCATACTTTCTGCTTGTGTAAATTTTAATGACTTTGACTATATGTGTAAAAGACACAATTTATAAAGGCTTTAAGGATTAGTTATGTATCATGCATTTAAGCATTATTCACATATCCTTCATCAGTCTTTAGCTTAAACTTCCAACTCCTCGAAAATAAATTGCTTTGATGCTTCTAGCTCTAAATTCCATTAAAAAGTCAGGCATTATCAAGTACATGTTTAATTTGTCCTAATATTAAAAGTTTAAAGTAGCAAGACTTTATAAAATCCCTTTAAAGGAATCTCACTAGTAAAAGCTACACTCTTAAATAAGGACATGTATTTTTTTTACATGTGCATAATTAATTCAGGTCGGTGACTTTGTTTACAGTTTAACCATTCCAAGGGAATCCTTGGTGGGAAAGTAACCTCCATTTTTCTTGTATAAGTTTTCAGGCCACATAGTTGCCTTGGTAATATCATAGTTGCACATCCTGATACCAGCTGATTTACATTTCTATATAGCGATTCATTCTTTCTTCTATCCTGTTAAACAAAAATAAGAGCCACCTAAAATTGTCTTCTTAAAACAGGAAAACAAAAGCTATCAGATTCCCGCGCCAAATGGAATACTCAGGCTGCTTCTAATTAGCCAAACTGCCTCAGAGATGAGACATGTCAATCTACTTTATTTATTTTATAATGCACTTTAGGAAATAATATGTGCTATGATTTGAGATGAATCATATTGATTAAAAATAGGTAAATAATTATAGTATGGTGAAATTTCTACTTGTGTGTTCATGAATAGTCATGTAACAGTTTACCAAATCAAAAAAAGAAGCTACACTTTGCTCCACCTTTGGAGGAAAATTTGTATTTCTAATCCCACTTGTTAAATACATTTCTCATATATGCCTAATGTAAAACTGTCCATGTGAAAATACAGTCAGTTCATGAATTAATTTACTTACAAAGATGGAAAGAGAGAGGATATACATAACTGAAGTAGCGCATAAATTGGGAAGTGGTAAATATAGTTAGAATATTTTGCATCTATGCATTGTTTGAGAAGCGGCAAAAGTATTACATTACATTATGCTTTAAGATGGCAAGAATGCATTTGGTAATATCTAGGGCAAACACTCTATTATAGTAAAATAATATATAGTATACAAACAGAAGAAAAAATTGAGATTGTAATAAGTACTTAATCCAAAAAGTGGTAAGAAAGAGAAAAAAGGGACATGGAACTGATGGGTCAAATAGAAAACAAATAGTAAGATGGTAGATTTAAACTCAAGTCTGTTAAAAAATATATATTAAATGTGTATAGACTAAAAATTCCAATTAAAAGACAGAGTTTCAGACTGGATTTAAAAAAAAACCCAACTATATGCTGTTTTAAAAAGACACTCTTTAAATATAAGTATACAAAAGGTAGAAGGTAAACAGACAAAATTATAATATGCAAACACTAAAAGAAAAATTCATTTTAAGGCAGGTAGCATAATTATAGATAAAGAAGGACTTTTCATAATGAAAAAAGTGTCAATCCATCAGAAAGATATAATGGTCTTTAATTTGTAGGTACCTAACAACATACTGTCAAAACATATGAAGCAAGAGTTGACAGATCTAACAGGAGAATAGACAAATCCTCTACATCGTGGGAAAATGTAACATATCTTTCTCAGTAATTGAACAGACAAAATCAGTAAGGTTGTAGAAGATTTGAACAACAGAATTAATATAACGTGACGTGATTGACATATGTAGAACATTACACCCAACAGTGACAGAAGATATCTTCTTTTCAAGTACACATGGAATATTTACCGTATTTTTCACAAACTGGGCTATAAAGTCTTATTTCAGTAAATTTTCGTCTCATTTACTACATGGGCCATGTTCTAATTCCCCCAGTTGTCCCCAAAATGTCATTTACACCTGATAGTCCAAAGTAGTATCCTCTCAACAACCAACATTTCATGTGGTTAAAATTTCACTTAATGGGGTCTGCCTCGTGGCCGAGAGCTTAAGTTCCCATGCTGCACGTTGGCGGCCCAGGGTTTTGCTGGTTCGAATCCTGGGCGCGGACATGGCACCGCTCGTTAGGCCGTGCTGAGGTGGCATCCCACATGCTACAACTAGAAGGACCCACAACTAAAAAAATATACAACAATGTACTGAGGGGATTTGGGGAGAAAAAGCAGAAAAAAAGATTGGCAACAGTTGTTAGCTCAGGTGCCAATCTTTAAAAAAAAAATTCACTTAAGACTCTTAAATTAGCACAGCTCTTCCTCCCACCTCTGTTTCATGACAGTGATTTGTTGAAAGTATTACCATTACCATGTTGTCCTGCAGAATGTCCCATCTTCTGGGTTTGTCTGATTGTTTTTTATTTTGAAAATAAAAATATATCCTTTATAGGGGCCAGCCCAGTGAGGTAGTGGTTAGGTTCCTGCGCTCCACTTCAGCGGCCCAGGGTTCACAGGTTCGGATCCTGGGTGCACATCTAGCACCGCTCATCAAGCCATGCTGTGGCGACATCCCACATAAAATAAAGGAAGATTGGCCCAGGTGTTAGCTCAGGGACAATCTTCCTCTCACACACACACATGAAATATATATATATATATATATATATATCCCTTATATATTTTGTAAACTTAAAGTTATATCCAAAAATCTGATGTTTTGAAGTTAAAGTCTTTTTCGCACCTGCATACCTGATGGAGGACGAAATCCCCATTATTATATAAATTTCCTCAAAATTTAAAAAATGATGGTCGGTTTCTCTTTTTTTGTTGTTGTTTTTTTTTTGAGGAAGATTAGCCCTGAGCTAACATCTCCTGCCAATCCTCCTCTTTTTGCTGAGGAAGACCGGCCCTGAGCTAACATCCGCACCCATCTTCCTCTACTTTATATGTGGGACACCTACCACAGCATGGCTTGCCAAGTGGTGCCATGTCCACACCCAGGATTGGAACCGGCGAACCCTAGGCCGCCAAAGCAGAACGTGCACACTTAACTGCTGCGCCACCGGACCAGCCCCCATGGTTGGTTTCTCTTAAAGTAAAGACAAGCATAATTTTCCTAAAACTTGGAGGCAAGAAATCCCCAAAAGCCAAAAACTATATTAAAATGTATGTTTATTGCCCATGGGATCGTAATTGAGTGTGTTGAAGAGCTGTCAGGTAGAGCTAAGCAGTACAAACTCACAGTCTACAAAGCCACCAGTGCTGCTTACTTCACTTTTCATTGGTGTCAACTGATCACATTTAAGAAAACTACACCACCCTTCTCGGAAGTTCAAGTCTTTTGTTAATGGCATTTGGAAGAGGCTTGGACAAAGCAAATCAGCTTCTGAAAAGGCAGAGACACCCTCCCAAGTCTCTCCCCAGACTGAAGGTATTGGTACCGCCTCTCTGCATTTTCAAGTCTTGGAGAAAATTCCTCAGGAGACTGGTTCTGATCTTAAAAATAAACTACATACCGAATTCTCCCTCGTCGGCAGAAAACGAGCTACTTGTTAGATGTGCTGCTGCCAAAACTCTCATTAAAGTTCCTGGTGCTTCACGCCGCCACTGTTTCCTATTTTCTGGCACGCCTTCAATCACAATCACTTGGCCATCTAAAGAGGAGCCTGCGTTATTGAAAAGAAAAATGCGTCTTCTCTTGAAATCAACAATTCAAAGAGACTGATGCACCCCTATGTTCATTACCACATTATGCACAATAGCCAAGACGTGGAAGCTATCCAGGTGCCTATCGACTGATGATTAGATAAAGATGTGGTGTATATATACAATGGAATACTACCCAGCCATAAAAAAGACAAAATCGTCGCATTCGCAACAACGTGGATGGACCTGGAGGGTATTATGTTAAGTGAAATAAACCAGAGAAAGACAAACACTGTACAACTCCACTCATACGTGGAAGATAAACTACCACATGGACAAAGAGAATAGATTAGGGGCTACCAGAGGGGAAGGGGGTTGGGGAGTGGGCATAAAGGGTAAAGGGGAACATTTATACAGCGACTGGCAAATAATACTGTACAACTGAAATTTCACAGTTATAAACTATTATGACCTCAATAAAAAAAAATGCTTCTTTATTCGAGTTTGGTTTTTTTTTTGAGGAAGATTAGCCCTGAGCTAACTACTGCCAATCCTCCTCTTTTTGCTGAGCAAGACTGGCCCTGAGCTAACATCCATGCCCATCTTCCTCTACTTTATATGTGGGACGCCTACCACAACATGGCATTTGCCATGTCCGCACCTGGGATCCGAACCGGCAAACCTTGGGCCGTGGAGAAGCAGAACATGCGAACTTAAGTGCTGTGCCACCGGGCTGGCCCCAATAAAATCACAGAATATTAGAACCTTGGAGGTAACCTCATCCCACCCCTCTTTTTATTGGTAAGGAAACCAAGATATAGAAAAGCTTAGTGACCTACTGTCACATAGCTGATGGGTACGAGAGTCATTTTTTGCTCTGTAAACTGGTTATTTTAGTATCTTAAGATTTCTATTCTATTTGCTTATTTTAAATTAGGTTTCTCCTCTTATTGACTCATTGATTTACAATGGATTAAATTGTATTTCATTGGCAAGCCCTTTCTTGCAAGTTTGATGATGACTTCAGTGTTTTGTAATAGTACAAAGATTAGTCAATTCACACTCTAATAATTATTACTTTCAGTGATATACTTACATATTTCAACTTATAACATGGGTATAACTTTTAGCCCTCTCCTAGCCCCGGGTTATCAAGAGGAACATAGGAAATAAGTAATAAAAATTGTCACCACCTGTAAAGCTAACACTCGGACGTTGCTGTAAACCTCTCCTAAGGAAAGATTAGGCCAGAGGTGCGAATGTAAAGGAAGGATTTTAGGATGAAAATTTCATCCATCCTAAACACTCTTAACATTTAAATAGCACAGTGACTTGTACAAAGCAATTTTATATGTATCTTTGCACTGCTAACTCTAAATCTTGGGGAAGAGCTATTATTTTAATTTTCTTGACTGAAAAAAAACCAACCCTCTAAGAAATTGCAAGGAAGTTACTGGACCAGCACTTGAAGGCAAACCAAGCCGACCGCCCTTCCTCCTATGTTCTCTCTAACTGCGAGGAAAGTGGGATTCTGGATCTTTCGTCCTCTACCTTCATAGTTAGGGTGATCAATTCTCTAGCATAATTAGCAAGCAAGTTTCTGGGGACGCAAGGGAGGAACCAAAACAATATCTTTAAAAGGTATTTGATACCAAATCTATAGGGACTGTACTGAAAAGGGAGAACTATCGTGTCAGGGTGAGCAAGGCAGGCGCCTCTGGGCTTGGTCTCTCGCCACCTGATCTTAGATTCACCCTCAGGCATGGCGGAGCAGGTGGAGGTGGCATCGGCCGCGGCCATCCTTTGCAGCACAGTCTGTGGAGCTCCAGCATCCCACTGCGTCCTGTTTTCTGCAGCAGCAGCGTCCTGAATGAACAACTCTGGGTGTGAGAAAAGAACCCGTTAATTTAAAAGCAGCTAAAGTGTGACTAATCACCCCAAAGAGTTCTTAGGAAACCTGGAGGCAGTCCGTCAGCTGGCACATTCAAAAACAGAGGGATCACCACCCTCAGCCTCGTATAAAGTGCTGTGGACTGAACGTCTGAGCCCCACCCCCCAACTTCATAGGTTGAAACCTAATGCCTGGTACGACGGTATTGGGAGGTGAGGTCTCTGAGAGGTGCTTAGATCAGGAGAGCAGAGCCCTCATGAATGGGATTAGTGCCCTTATGGAAGAGGCCCCAGAGAGCTTCCTCACCCTTTCTGCTCTGTGAGGACATGCAAAAAGACGGAATCAGTCCCTCACCAGACACCACATCTGCCAGTACCGTGATCTTGGACTTTCCAGCCTCCAGAACTGTGAGGAATAAAGGTTTGTTGCTTATAAGCCACCCAGTTAATGGCATTTTGTTACAGCAGCCCAAATGGACTAAGACATGGATCATAATTTATAAGAGGAATTATAGACAGGTTTAAAATTGTTTTGCTTTTATTATTAATGTTTGATTGACTAGCTAATATATCTAAATGCTAAAGAAATATTAGTGACACAAATGGACAAATTTCTTAAGGCATTTATGAGTACTTTTACTTTAGTCAGTTTCCACAGAAATGCAGTCTGTTCCACTATATTTGTTTTGTTTTGTTTTTTTGGTGAGGAAGATTCACCCTGAGCTAACATCGGTGTCAGTCTTCCTCTATTTTGTATGTGGGGTGCCACCACAGCATGGCTTGATCTGAACCGGTGAACCCTGGGCCACCAAAGCAGAGTGCACAAATTTAACCACTACACCACTGGGCCAACCTCTTCATTATCTTAATTTTTAAAATAACTTGTGTTATCTTTTCCTTTATTTATTACTATGTTTCACTATAGGAAATTTAAAAATCAGATAGGTAGAAGAAGAAAATAAAACTCACCCATAATCCCACTGTCCAGAGACTATTAAAATTTCCAATTTTTCCCCCTGCATATAGTTTTTGCTTTGCTTTAAAACAAAAAATGGGCCACATAGTACACACTCTTTCATAACTTGCTTTTTTCAATTAGCAACATATATCCAGATTGTTAAATATTCTTCTAAACAACCATTTTAAAGCAAACATAATACATGTATTATAATTTAACTAATTCTTTTTCGCTGGATTCTTAGATTGCTAGAGATTTTTCACTATTATAAATAATACTGTAATGAACTCATTTGTAGCTAGATTTTTGTGGACATTTCTGATTACTTACTCTAGATAAGCTATTGAAAGTGGCAATTCTAGGAGCTAGTATTATTTGCTTCACCAAAGCTTTTCATTGTTAAAGTTGAATCTAGGAGCTGGCCCCATGGCCTAGTGGTTAAGTTCAGCGTGCTCTGCTTCAGCAGCCCAGGTTGGGTTCATGGGCGTGGACCTACACCACTTGGTAGCAGCCGTGCTGTGGTGGTGACCCACATACAAAATAGAGGAAGACTGGCACAGATCTTAGCCCAGGGTAAATCTTCCTCAGCGGAAAAAAAAAAAAAAGAAAGAAAAGAAAAAAAGAATCTCCCAAAGAAAAAATCCTGTTGTGGTTTTGATTTAAACTGCCAAAAATCCATATATTTATTTGGAAAGAATATTTCCAATATATAACAGTGTTATTTCTCTCCATTTGTTCAAGTGGTGTTTAAATACCCCAGTAAAGTTTTACAGCTTTCTTCATATGCTCTGCACAGTTCTTGTAAAGTTTATTCCCAATTATATGTATATATGTGCATGTGCACACACACACACACACACACACACTTGCTGTTGTTACTGTAAATGAGATCTGAAGACCAACTGGGGGAAATATTTGCAATACTTATTACAGGCAAAGGTTTAATTTAAATGAGTCTTACAGAGAAAAAACAAACATGCCACTTTCAGTAGAAAAACGGATAAGGGACATGAGCTCATCCTCACAAGAGAAATATAGATGGTCAGTAAACATATGGAAAAATTGTTCAACCTGAATAATAATCACAGGAATGGGGTTTAAATTGAGACCATTTTCAGTATCAAACTCATGAAGGGCTTTTTTCCCTTTTTATCTAAAAAAAAGCAGCTACGTCTTTTGAGACCTACAACCCACTTTCTCATCTTCCCAGCAAACTTATGCAAACAGTAACCTTTGAATTCACTGAATTTTCACTGAAACTGCTATCACTAAGGCCATCCAGGGCTCCTGATGGCGAAATCCCATAAGCTGTTATTCACCCTCACTTGGCCTTTCTCTTCCAATTGATGCTGCCAACTCCTGCACCTCCTTCTAGAACTTTCTCCCCTTCTTTGGTTTTACTCTCTCTTGATTCTCCTAAAACTTGTCTAAACATTACTAGGGTCCTCCAAAGCTCCGTTTCCTTCTCACTCTAGGTATTTCCGGCCATCACCAAGGTGGAAATACCATGTATTACTAAGGAAGCCCTTAGATTGGCCCCAGGGCTTCGGTCTCACACTGCTAGCGCCTTCTGAACATCTCCAGCTGATGCTCATAAAGACCTAAATCTCAATATGTTCCAAATTTAGATCATTACATTATGTCCTCTGACCTCACTCTACATGACGTATATGCCTATTTGGTTGGTGACACCTTCATCCATTTGAATTAGAAAACTGGGAGAATCCTTGACCCTCTTCTCTTCCTCAGCCCCCACACTCAGTGGTTCACACTCAGGGTCTGTTCCCACTGCGCTGCTCTGGCCTGTGCACCTGTTCTTTCCCACCTGGGCTGTTCTCCTGCCTTCAGTCCTCCCCTCCATGCCATCAGTCCTCCCCTCCACGCCATCCTCCACACTGCGGCCAGCATGATCTTCCCCATCACAAACAGGAGTTAATTCCTTTCGGTCGAAAGTCATCACATGGGATAATTGCCAGGCTCCTTGGCACGCCAAGCTCTGTGGGAGCGGGCACCTCCCTGACTCTCCAGCCAGCTCGCACTCCAACAATGATTAGCGCTTCGCCTCAGAACATAGGTTTTGTGCCTCCTTTCTTTAGCTCATGACACTTCTGTGATGTTGAGGTCTCATTCGTCTTTGAGATCCCTACCACCCAGCACAGTCTGTGGCACAAGGGGGATTCTCAATAAGATGCCTGCTGAATTGAATAAAGATGTTTCCAGATGGAAATGAGGCAAAGTGTGTTATACCAGGAAGAGGAAACTAAGCCAAGCCAGGGTGTGTAAATGCTCACATAGCTACAGGGAAGAGGGGTGCTCCAGCAGGCTCTATGGATCCCATCATCCATGGAAGGGAAGAGGGGGTGCTGGGGCAGGAAATGTGGGTGACTACAGAATCAGGCCACTCAGTGTCAAATGTGATGACACTATGCAGAAGGGACTATATCCTGCAGGCATTATCAAAACAAAACATTTGAGAAGGACGATCAGATGACGAGAAAACTCTAGCAACCAATCATTTAGAGAATCATTTAGGAAGTACTAGGGAAAAGGAGGTCACAGGAGAATAAGGCAATTCAGAGGACAAGGGGAGGGAATAGTGTTTATTAAGCATCTAATATGTGCCAGGAATAGCATTTATTAAGCACCTAATATGTGCCAAATTTCACTTTAGTCTTCACAATAAGCCTGTGTGGCAAGTACTATTATCCCCCATTTCTAAGAGGAAACAGATTCAGAGAATTTAAGTAACTTGTGAAAGGTCACACAATCAGAAAGTGGCATCGCCAGCTGGGGTTCAAACTCCCATCTGTCTCCAAAGCCCATGCATTTCCTACTACACACACTGTTGAGAGAGGACAGGGTGCTAAACCAGTGGCAGAGGGAATGAAGGCGGAGGAAGACTCCAGAAACATCTCAGAGTAGAACCCACCCCAGGCATGCAGCAGGAACCGTCAGCCTGGTGATGGTGTTACCCAAAATAAAGGATCTCTGGGAATGGCAAGGAAGGGCTCAGAAGTTCAACTGTATACCTGCTGAGTCTGAGATGCTAGTGGGACCCGTCCGTGGAGCTTCCTAGCAGATACGGAGGAAAATGGGTGGGTGTGGAGCTGCTGGCTGGGAGAAGCTGAAGCTGAGGGAGCGGGTGAAACTGCCCAAGGAGACGGTATGGAGCAAGAGAGGAGGGCTGAGCCTCAGGGAGTACCCGCTGCGTTGGGTGGACGGGGCAGAGGAGGCAGGTCACTGCCCAGCTCAGGGATCGCAGAGCAGCGCAAGTGACAGTGGAATTGCAGAAGATGAGTGAGGAGAGAGTTCCAGACGGATTGCTAATAAAACGGTTCCTTCTCATCTACAGCTTTCAAGGGACACATACCTGCTTCTGGGCAACAGAGTTTTTCAAATGCTTTGTCTGTGTAATCTTCATGCTCCTTTACATATTTACATTCCTTAAACCTCAGGCCGTCCTCAAAGGTCAAAGTTTCATTTAGTATATCCATTGCCTAAAGCAAGTCCACAGTGTTTCATGAGAAATAAGCCATATTTTGCCAAAAAAAGTTTAAAAATTATTTTGCGTTCCCAGTAATTTACCAAGATATATTGGTAAGTATTCAATATTTGTTTATTAAACAAATCAGTAGAGTTTTAAAACTGGAACTATGTTGGAACAAGATAGAAACAGGAATGTTTTCATTTCTTCTCTGTGTCAATAGCGACAAGCACTGATCACATGGCAACTTAACTTTATCCAGACTTCCCACCTTCAGTATCATTCTTCTGCAGAACTCTCAAGGTCATCTGGTCCTTGCCCTGCTTTAAGCATACACCATTCCTAATCAGGTCCCTAAAACTGCTCCCAATACTCCATAATCAATCCTAAAATGATCACTCTGTTTCAAGCATACCAAAGCATAGAATAACAAAGGATGAACATCCTGGTAGATAAAACTTTTTTGGCTCCATTTTTTTAGCAGGCCAACTTCAGTGTCTCATTTCACAGAAACACCAACCCAGAAACAGATCTGCAGCTCTGGGACACTTAGAGACCTAATGGTTAAGCAGAGGTGAGCACTAGCCAACACCACTCTAATGAAGTCTTATGTAGCAAAACGTTAGTAAAAATCTGAAACATAGGCAGAGCAGAGGATTTTTAGGGCAGTGAAAATACTCTGTCTGATACTGTAATGATGGATACATGTTATTACACATTTGTCAAAACGCATAGAATATATAACACCAAGAGTGAACCCTAATGTAAACAATGGACTTTGGGTGATAATGATGTGTCAATGTAGGTTCATCAATTGTAACAAATGTCCCACTCTGGTGGGAGACATTGATGGCAGGGAAGGCTGTGCGGGGGGGGGGGGGGGGGGGGGGGGGGGGGGGCAGGAGGCATATGAGAAATCTCTGTACCTTCTGTTCAATTTTGCCATGAATCTAAAACTGCTCTGAAACATGAAGTCTATTTAAAAAAAACAAAACAAAACTAGTCTTTTACCATACATTAAAAAAATCTCACAGAAATGTTAACATAAAAAAGTTTTAAGCTAATAAAGAACATGAAAGAAAGAAATTGAGGGGCCGGGCTGGTGGCGCAGCGGTTAAGTGCACACGTTCTGCTTGGGCAGCCCAGGGTTCGCCAGTTCGGATCCCGGGTGCAGACATGGCACCGCTTGGTTAGCCATGCTGTGGCAAGCATCACACATATAAAGTAGAGGAAGATGGGCATGGATGTTAGCTCAGAACCAGTCTTCCTCAGCAAAAAGAGGAGGATTGGCAGCAGATGTTAGCTCGGGGCTAATCTTCCTCAAAAAAAAAAAAAGAAAGAAAGAAATTGAATATCAGGTATGATATAGAAAATATGATGATATATGATATGATAAAATATATGTGATACATATACTTAACTCATACTTAACTTTTGGTAATTTAAAAGGCAAATTCAGAAAAAGTGAAATGGAAACATCAGTTAATTTTGATATCTGTTAGTAGGTCTGGTAAAAAGTGGGATTAAAAATGTTGAAATCAGATAACAAAATGAGGTTTGAATTTACTGTATTCATGTACTTATTGCTGTGTCAATGAGAGCCCAAATGCACAATTCAGATTTACCCAAAGACCAGTTATCAATAACTAATTAATAACAAGGTTATCAAGGTTATCAATAACTAATTAAGACCTGAAATAAATGTGCATGGTTTCAGGGCACCTGCTAAATTTTTTTAGGTAAGTATGTTAGTTGTTGACTATGTATTACGTCTTCTATTTTAACTTGGCTATGACAAAAGATAATGTTATGAGGAAAATAGCTCCTTTATAAAAGAAAAATAAATTAAGACAGAATAATCCATCTAAAAGAATAATCTCATTAAAAAAAGAATGGGAGGATAAAAGATATTTTTGTAAGACTCGTTTGAACACCAGAGCTCCTTCTAGAAAGATTTAAGAAAAGTCTCCCTACCCTCTATGGAAAAATTTCATGAAAGATGCTATTAAGACACTCATTTTCTCATACCTACTAATGTAAATATATACTTAATGGCATACCTCTTCCTCTTGGAGGATCTTTTCATCAGAAATACATTTGTCTAAATTAATTTCAAACTTTACCCCTTTCTAGAAGAAAGCAAGAAAAAAAATCTTAGTTTAGCAAACCAATAAAAATCTTAAAATTCCAACTCCCTATTTGATATTACAGATACTAAAAACCATTAGTACATCATCACAAAATAAGGCAATTGCATAAAATAGTGGGGGAAAATACTGTAGGCAACCCAGATCACAAAGTGTGGCCCCCCCAGCCAGCTTCTAATATGAAACCCAAAGGCAAAATGTTTATTACCTTAGCTTTATATTTTCGTTCCGGAATTTTACTTTCCTTTATGTTCTGAAGTCTAATTTGTTTCAAGTTTCTTTCAATATCCTGAAAGTTTAGAGAAAAATTAAAATCTAGCACTTAACATTGATCAAACAATTATATTTTCACAACCTCTGAATTCACAGCATGGTCTGCTTACATTATTTGATTTCTGGATTGGATCTGATGATTGATTTGAGAATAAAAACATGTCTTTAATGATAATTCACTAAAACTTTGCCACAGTGTCCAAAACTTGAAATATTAATATATCTAACACTGGCATTGCAATGGGTACAATTTTATGATGTGACAATGCTTATCACTCCAGTCCAGTCCAATACAACCTAATCTAACTCAAGAATGTAATTTTGACTACAGGATCCTTCCCTTAAGAGGCTTACGATCTTAGGAAAACAAGAAAAGTGCGTGGCTCACAATAGTAGAAAGGAAGGAGAGGGCACTAAAAATTGATGGGCAATTTCAAGGAGGAAGAAGAGAAGATTATAGAGGTAGATGACAAAATTTCAAAGGAACAAGTGGGAGTCACCTCTTTAAACGCTGATCTCTCTCAGGGTTCAGTCCTGGGCCCTCTGCCCGCCTCTTCCTCAACACCTGGCGGCGGTGGCGGAGAGGGGTGGGGGGGGGTGGTCTCAGTAATCCCTATGCACTTAAATGCCATCTTTATGCAATGACTCTTAAATGCTATCTTCAGGTCTGATCCTTCCTCTCCTCTGAGCTCCAGACTCACATATTCAACTGCCTACTTAGCCTCACCTTCACTTTAATAGCCTTTCCACGAATTCATATGGAGCACCAGTGTGGGCCAGACACTGTCCTACACACTGGGTTAGTGCAGTAAACGCAACGGAAAGGTCCCCACAGACAGGGAACTTAAATTTACTGGAGTAAGACAGGTAACAAATGAGTTAAAATAATGACATAAGTTCAGAACTGTTAAGTGTTATAAAGGAAATCAAATAGGGTCATAGCATAGAAAATGAGTAGAGGATGAGCATAATGCAGGAAAAGCCCAGCTGGCACTTGATTTGAGCCCTGGAATGATGGTAGACCTTGGTACATGAAGGTCTGGGGAAAGCATGTTCCTCACAGAGGGAGTGGCAGGGCAAAGGCCCCGAGGCAGGCGTGCAATCTCAGCTCTTCTCCAACTCAGCATGTCCAAAGGGAACTCCTGATTGCTCCCACCACAAGCTTGCTCCCCACTCTTCCCCTTCTTAGTAAATGGAACTATCCCTTTCAAGCCAGAAACTTCTGAGTCTCTTTGGCCTATGTACATATTTGTATGCTCTCTTCTCTCCACCGTTTGACATTAGGTCTCCATCGTCTCTCCCTTGGAATCAATTGCTGCCTCTTCCGCAGCACCACAGCCTGTGTATGGACTTCCCATACAGCACGTGTCAGTCTGAAGCATTACTAGCTGTTTGCCCTGCAACCCTGGGAAGGGTGTTTTTCTGCCTTGCCATATTACAAACTCTGAAACAGGACTGTGCCTTATGTATCTAAACTTCTATTTGTGAGGCTGGTTGTCTGATTTGATTGTGTAGTCTGGTTGTCTCAACTGTATAAGAAGTGTCATATTGCTTGATTTTCCTTAAAATACAACTACCTTAGCCTCCTAAGTCCCATCCACCCCAGTGGGAGAAAATTCAACCTCAGTCCACTTTAGGTCTTCCTGGCGTCGTGTCATGTGAAGGTCCTGGGGTCTCTCACGAGACAAAACATTCAGGGAGGCCTTTCTGCCTTCACGCAACATCGGTTCCCCTCACCTGCCCTTAATCAAGGCCTCGTGGCACCTTGAAGATAAAGGTGCAAGGCCTCCCAGAAGGAAAAAAACCTCTCTTGAGAGCCATTTGATAATTCAGCTCTGCCCAGTTCCCACTCCCGCCAAAAATGTCATGTTGAAACGGAAGAGAAGTTAACCGTCAGGTTTCCTGACCAATGGTCTGAGACCCTGACTCAAAACGTCCAGAACGCTGGACTTTCATATGCGCACAACAGCAGTTCTCAAACTCGGCTGCCCACTAAAGCACCCAGCCAGCTTCTGAAAGCAGGGTGCCTGGGCCCCACCCAGACCGTCTGGGGCAGAGCCTAGGCATCTGAGTTTTTTAAATGTTTCCCACACGATTCTACTGCACAGTGAGGGGTAAGAACTGGTGGGCTAGGGCAAACTCCCTGGGAAACACTTCGCTGTCTGATAATGACCCTCACCTGCACAGGCGCTTCTGCCTCAGGTGCCTCTTGGTGGGCGGGCAGCTTACTCTTCTTCACCAAATAGGTTTTATGATTTATTTTTGAGTCCTCCTTTAACACAAATTATACACAGTCAACAAGATTGGTTCTGTGTCAGCTCTGAAGGCAGGCTTTATGAACCTCACAGGGTTGGAATGGGATCCAGTGAGGAAATGCTTTCCTCCCGCTGGAGGGCTGATGGGTGGGAGTGTCTAGATATAGCTCGCTCTCTCTGACTCTTTTTCCCTCTGGCTCCCCTGGTATTCCCCAAGTGCTTCTTCTGTGGACTCTCTAGAAATGTCTGCTATCCATCCTTCCGGACTCTGGTTTCCCATCGCAGACCTGCCTTAAAAATAAGGCTGATGATGGCACAGGGCCCCCCACCATTAACCAAACCTCTGCTCTGGGTAGAACCACCTCCAACCCGCCCCCTCCCAGTTCATCCGGTCCTCTGTCTGAACCTTTGTGTGGTTCTTTCAGAAAGCCCTCCTCCTTAGCTCTGCCTCTCCAAATTTTACTCTTCTTCTCTGACCCAGCTTAGGCGCCAACTCGCTTCTTCCATAAAAACCCTCCTCCTGCTCATCCTGCTCGTCTTCACTCCTATGCACCTCCAGGGCTTAACTACATTCAGTTTTATTTGATCATTGCTTCAGACACGTGTGTCTTATCTTCCCAACTATTTATGAGTAGAAGTGCATATGCTAGAAAGACTAGAGGTTTTAGAATCCGATATTTAGTCTGCCTTGTAATACCTCAGCAACTTTGGATGAGTTATTTCACTTCTCTGTTATGGGGAGTAAATGAAATAAAGCATGTAAAAGCTCTAGTTCAGAGGCTGGTACATACAATTGGATTGTGCCATATGCTCATTTCACCTATATTAATTCATTTATATGCACACGGGGTTGGGGAGACAGAGAGAAAGAGATCAATTTCAGCAATGTGGGTGGTTCTACTCAATGAGTGGGTAGCTCAAGTGCACTGAGAAGGGAGGCCAGTCTCAGTGCACACAGGCCTCTCATAGGGGGAGCCCTCCAGGTGTTTCTAGTGTTTAAATATCCGTGTGTTTTTCATATAACATGGGCTCTAAACACAGGCCAGCTGTATTTCATCTGGAGCTCTACTGAAAAAGCAGTGATCTGAGAGACTGAAGAATGAGTTTCCAGTGTAGTACCTTTAAGGGATTTTCAAGAATCATCTCAACTGCACTCAAATATTGCCTCATATAGACTTGAGAACCTTACCCCTGCATACCAGACTGTTCCAATATAGTTGGATTCCATAAGGCTGGTCCTTTGTCCTACCTTATGGGCATGAACTTATTTTCTGCATCTAATCAGTAGCTGCTCAGTCAACACTTATGGACTGATTCATGAGGAAGACAATCAACAAGTATTTTCAATACCAGCCCTTCCTAAGCGAGAATCCCAGATATCCTCATCATCTTGAGCAGTCTCAAGTAAACCACAGAAAAGCGAAGCCTCAATTAGACCTGACAGCTTTCCTATTAAAAAAAAAAATGTTTGCGTGATGAAACTTTCTTTTCTATGAGGAGATCCTTACTTTTAATGTCTACTCAATTTAGTTAGCTCTAAATCAATAGAACAATGCTCCCTTTAGGAGGATGAATTTATTTACCTCCGGTTCACTCCCTATCTTCTTTCTAATTTCCTTCATGTCATTGTGGTACTGTTGGCGTATTTCCTCTAACTGCTTCCAATATTCCTGGAAAGCAATTCCAACACAAAAATTTTAAATGTTTATGAACAACTTAACAAAAACAATCTCTATACAGCCTATGATTTTAAAAATGTGTGATATATAATAAGAATTAGAAAACCTGTCGCTCCTCAGGATGCTAATCTGCCTTACATTTTGGCTGTGACACTTTACTCCCTGCAAGTTATACAGTGGCTTGGGGTGATGGCACTTTTATAAATAACCTCAAATGCATGAATGACATACAATTACTTTATATATCCCATTTCTAATATAATTGTCTTATGGATTTTGTCCTCCCAAAAAAAGATATGTTGGAGTCCTACCTGCCAGTACCTCAGAATGTGACCTCATTTGGAGATAGGGTCACTGCAGATGTAATTAGTTAAGATGTGGTCATACTGGAGTAGAGTGGGCCCCTAATCCAATATGACTCATTTTGACTCAACTTTTAAGAAGATGACCATGTGAAGACAGAGACACACAGGGAGAACACCATGTGACGATGGCAGAGAATGGAGTTATACAGTGGCAAACTAAGAAATGCCAAAGATTGCTGACAAACCACAAGAAGCTAAGAGGAGGCAAAGGTTCCCTTACAGGTTTCCCAGAGAGCATGGCCCTGCCGACACCTTGATTTTGCACTTCTAGCCTCCAGAACTGAGAGACAATAAATTTCTGTCATTTTACTTTGTTAAGGCAGCCCTAGGAAACTAATACAAATTTCAAAAATGGTCATGAAGGACAACGACTTTGTCGATTCAAGGTGAAAAAGCTTATGAACCTGGCTCTGTTGCATTCTCTGAGAAGGTGCAATACCTATCTCTGTACCCCCAGCATGGGGCTTCATGAGAGGGTGTCCAACAAGGACCCGTGCAACAGGCTCTCTCAGGCGCTCTGTGCATACTAACAGCAACACCCTACTACAGCTCAGAGACAAGGACATGAGCACATTGGTAGCCCCAGGTCAGACTGTTTTCAACCTGTTCCTTCATTTCGTTTCTCCTGAACTGCAGCTCCTGGAATCTGGGCTCTTCTCCGTTACTTCTTAGAGTTTGTCTCTGGTTGTGATTTGGCTCAGCAGAAGATGGACGGAGGCCCTATTATTTGAATGAAATAATTTATAAAGCATACTTGCATTTTGGAAACATCTTCTGGTTTGACCTTGACCTTTTCCTTTAAACAAGAATTATATCACCCATCAAACGCAGTACTTGAGAGTTTTAGAGGGAGCAGTAGAATTTTCTTAATTTAAGTATGAAATATTAATAAAGAAAATTAATAAAACCATTTGCGTTGTTTATCCTAAGCAATCAATTTTATGCCACCATATGAGACACCTAGATCCATTTTCTGAACTGGTGGATTATAATTATGAAATTAAAGCTCTGTAAAAGCTCAGCAACCCCTGGACCATGAAATTAGATAGGGGAATAGAACTAGAACTATTGAGCAGTTGAAAATAAGAGTGATACAAATAGGATGCACATCCAGCCGCCCTCAGGCCCCAGATTTTGACACTATACCTAAGGGTAAAGATTAACTTTCATTTCATATAAAATAGTCACTTTAAAAAAAATCGTGTAGAATTCTAATACAATAGAATCAAAGAGCTGCCACATTGAAGGGGACCTTGAAGCTCATCTACTCCAAAACCATCATTTATGGAAAAGGAAATTGAGGCTCAGAGAAGTTGCGTGACCTGCCTAAGGTCATACAGCAAGAGTCAGTACCAGGGAAGAAACCAGGCTTCCAGACCCTGAACCAAGCCTATTCCCACTATGCTCCCTTAGCTAATAAAAATTAGGGAAGAGGACGAGATAGTCTTGATCATCTATGTGGAATGAACTTTAAGAATTCGTGAATATTTGTGAACAGAGGAACTATGAGGAAATTCCTGATTGCCTCTCATATTAGGTATTTTACTTACCAACTGCTTTTCCACTTTCAACTTATATTGCTGAGCTTCAAGTTTCCTCTGAAGGTATTCAGCAGGCCTTAGGAAATAACAATGTTCCGCTTGAGTGGAAATTTGGAATAGTCTTAGGTACCGACTTGATAAGCGGATTTTCAGTTTAGGAACGAGATTCACAATTCATTCTGTGGCTTGAGGTTCCAAGTCCAAAAGTAATTCAAAGTTACAGAATGCTTATATTGGAGAAGAACATCTTTGGACTCAAGAGGAAAGGGAGGTAGAGAGAACAGTAACAACTGGGGAGACAGGCGAGGATAAAACAAAAATATTCAGATCCACTGATTTTTCTTCAGGGTAGAGATCAGTCCTGCCATAGGCCATGGCATGTTGGAGGAAAAAGACGAACCCACACCTGGATCTTCTTAGGCGCTGTGTGAGTATCTAATCTATAGCCCTGTCACTCTCTCGTCATGTCTCTCACCATGTTTAAGGTATTTCTCCTCACAATTCTGGTCTAGCCACTTTCAGGTTTATACCTATGTTCTCTATATCTATCTTTTTTGCAGAATTTCCTGCCAAGAATTTCTGTAATTACTGATTGCTAAATAAAAACTTCCACACTTCAGATCATAGTACAAATTATGTGATAAAGTTTTTTTGGAATACCAGTAACTTCTAGGGCTTCAAAGACAGAATAGTCACTTCAGCAATGACTCCTCTAGGAGCATCATGATGGGCAGTCCCCAGCTTATGAAGAGTCAACTTAAGAAGTCAGTCATTTAGAAATATGCCAAAACAACAAGCTAGTTAAGATCTCTGGGCCTTGTTCCTCATCTGTAAAATGGGCCCAATACCATCTCACAGGAGTTGATATGAGGACTAGAAGAGATTATGTGTGGGCAGGTGCCTGGCCAGTGTCTAAGACAGAGAGAGTGTGTCAAATGAGGGCTAACGTGTCGCATTCATCTCTCTCAGAAACCTAACCAGAACCTGTAACAATATCTCCATGAGAAAAACTATTCAGTCACCCAGGGGCTGCTCAAAAGACACTCTCTCCCCATCTCTCTCTCTCTCTCTATATATATATATCCAACTCTGCACAGATTCCTCTTCCTCCAGGCAAGTATCAAGAGTGGATTCCCACGGAATCAGAGCTCTGATAGAGAGAAAAGTAGAACAATGAGGAGGGGGTTACCAGTCATCAGAGGGGCATCCTGGGATACAGTTGGATGGGGCTTTTGATGAGTAGCAGTGTACAAGGAAGAGAAAGAGCTTTCTATCACCTTATGTGAGAGTTTGGGAGATAAAATCATATATAATCAAAATAATTGATAGTTTGACAGCTCTCACCTTTAGACAAAGAGTAGAAGAAACATTTTCTTTTGTTTGTTTGTTTTTTTTGTGAGGAAGATTGGCCCTGAGCTAACAACTGTGTCAATTTTCCTCTATTTTGCATGTGGGACACCACCACAGCATGGCGTGATGAGCAGCGCATAGGTCTGCACCCAGGATCTGAAACTGCAAACCCCAGCCTGCCGAAGTGGAGTGCACCAACTTAACTACTACACCACCAGGCTAGCCCTGGAAGACACATTTTCCCAGTGGCTGAGAAAGGGGAAAGGAAATTTTGTGGCTGCACTTAGTTCATATGTAAAACGTATGTCACTCATTAGTTGAATCCTGTATGAGTATTACAGATTGAACTAATGGAACACACGTTTTGATGGTCATGGAGGTAATTAAAAATGTGTTATGAAGATGGATAAAACCATAAAGGTGCCCAGTATCTTTAAAAATACATCCACTTTTCCCATCACACGTTTCTGAAGAAATCATTCTTTTATCACTCTTTCTTATCTAATTTTCATTAGCTATCTGAAATCACCATCACAGTCTCTTGTATTTTTCTTTATTCATCCAAAATTTCAATAACAATAAATAACCAGAGTCACAAAAGTTAGCAAATTCCCAACCCTGAAAGAAAAATGTTACGGTAAAAGCCTTTTTTTAAAATGACTCTCAGGGGATGGACTATAATTAATTTTTGGGTGGTGAACATGACGTAATCTACACAGAATTCGAAGTATATTACGACGTACATCTAAAAGCAATATCATGTTATAATTCAATGTTACTGCAATTAAAAAAATAAAAATTAAAAAAAAAGTCAAAAAATAAAATGACTCTCAGCCTTAGGGCTTCAGGCATCAATTATTCCGGACAGAGGAACACTGACATTCGTGTGAAAAAAAACAACGGAAAATATTACAGATCTGCATAAATTTGTTATGGAGAAATTTTTTGAAAGTCTGCCATAATGAGCAGTTTATTATTTTCTTTCTAATACATCTGTCTTCTGAAAAATCCCAACAATATAAATGCTGAATGAAATATATTTTACTTTTCAGTGTCTCAAATGATAATTTGATTAGAATTCAATTAGTATTGATTAATATTAATAACCTCTTTGGCAAATGACACATATACAACTATTTTCATCAATCCCAGACAGTGGAATTTACTAGAAGGAAGAAAAAATATTAAAAATTCAAGAGTATGACTCTTTGCCCACAGTTAAACGGCTACATGAATGAGAAGATGACCTGCATCAGACTTGAGCTGAAACAGGGCCAAGGGAGCTGTGAGTCAAGTATTTAAAATGAAGTTTGGAAGTTCTTTCTGGATTATGTATTTTAGGAGAATTGAGAAGGATTTCAGAATAAAGAATATTGATATATCGAGATATTGTCAGAGAACCAAAGCTTAAGTTAGACTGTGACATTACCATTGATTTGGTGGTGGGCTGTGACTTTCTTCCTGGCTATAATTCTCCTCCACTCTGGTATTTTTTTGAGGAACATGGTGGTAATTTGGTTCCTGAGCTCTCTTTCTCAACAAGTCAAGCTGAGCATAATAAAAATCGTAATGTCCACACACTGCAGCGAGTTTGGGCCTTTCTACCCTTTTTATCTGAAGGATTAAAAAGAAGAGAGAAGATTTTTAAAAATACATAATACAGATCTATAGACATTGACAGTTTGCCGGTGACCATAGCTAAGACGAGGCATTAAAGGTATATTTTTGTTGTTTTTGCTCTAGACTTGTTTTCAGAGTAAAATAATCTTAGAATCCCCAAATTCTAGAATTGAAAAAGATCTTAGATGTCTAAGTACTACAGTATAGTAGTTTATAATTTTGCTAAGGTGTGGCTAAGAATTCATGGCTAGTGGGTCAAAAATACTTAGCCAGTGAGTATGCCTAGCCAACCCAAAATCTGAAACTAAATTCCATATATTGTTTTCTAATTTTCATAAACTTATTTACGCCTTACTGTACTTTGTGGGGGAATAAATAGTGTTCAACTCACAAATATGGAGATATGCAACATTTTTAGGTTCTGATAAATTGACTAAATACAAAACGCCATCATGACTTAAAGAAAAGAAGATGTTGAGTGACTCAGTCATTCTTCCCGGGTAAACACAAGGAATGTCATGTAACAGTTGTGACAGTCGTATTATCACCCCAAACTGCCTCTCACTAGCCACCCTTCCCAACCAGAACAGAAGGAGAGGAGGAAATCAGAAGCAAATGTTTGTCTTGGAGCTGAGCAGAAACCCACTGAGCCGGAAGACAAGAATCAGACCAAATTAACGTGTGAAAACCAGCCAAGACCCTGTTGCAAACTAGCAAAGTAGGGTCAATTTAACATTAATCCCTGACAACTTGGCCTACTTACAGTTGATAAAAAGAGAAAAACAAAGTCACAACATTGGAAAGACCTAGAACTGATAGTTGGAAATATGAATAATCAAACAAATGGTCAAAATGGAAATTTCCTTACTGTAAAGAAATAATATGCTATATTCTTTGTTCTTTTAATGCTATGTGTTTCATATATATATATTATATTGAACCATGTGGAGTTGTAGATATTTGACCATCTTTAACTTACAAAAATAGTACTTTCATATAGTTATATTTAAATATTAAAGTAAATGTATAAAATTTGGTTTATTAGTCTAAACATAAATTATATATTTATTTTTAAAATCTTTTAAAGCGTCACATAGTTTTCTTTCTTTTTTTTTTTCTGAGGAAGATTAGCCCTGAGCTAACATCTGCTGCCAATCCTGCTCTTTTTGCTGAGGAAGACTGGCCCTGAGCTAACATCCGTGCCCATCTTCCTCTACTTTATATGTGGGACGCCTGCCACAGCATGGCTTGTGCCAAGCAGTGCCATGTCCGCACCCAAGATCCGAACCGGAGGACCCCGGGCCGCCGAAGTGGAACATGCGAACTTAACCGCTGTGCCACCAGGCTGGCCCCAGTTTTCTTAGTTTTACAGTTTTACCTATATACAACCTAAAAGAAGGTACTTGTTAAAAAATGGTTAGAAATAGACAGATGTATTAGAAGAGATTCAACAGCTTTGGGATTTCTATAAATCCCCATCCAGTAGTGAGAACCTCAGAGGTGGTTCCTATGGAGACCCATTCATTTCACTGCATTAAGCAGAAGCCTTCAAAGGATTAGAAAAACGTCAATTTGTTCCCCTTACTTAATCCACTCCCAAATCTTTTAGGTGTTTTTTCTCTCCTACATGTCTGCTACAAAGTATTCTAAATCAAAAGATATTTTTTTAAAAAATTTCTTTAATAAAGTTAAACCACATTCTATCAAATGAAGGGCAATAATTTAACCAATAGTTTCAAAAATCTGTACACCAAGACATTTCTCTAACATGCCCACATTTCAAGTAAACACTTACTATACGTACTTCCAAACGGTCCTCTAATTATATATACCATGAGCCTTCTTTAAAAATACAATTCATTTAAAAGACAATAGCCATCTTACACCAGAAGCATTTTACTAGCATGAACTAAAGGATTCAACACTCCTCTGAAGTGGATTCAAATAACTAAGCATAAAGAATCTCTAGGAAAAGATCAATGATTATCTGATAAAACATTCTCAATTCTACATAACATGTCACAATTAAGACTATGAAATGGGTACCATGCTACTCACTTGTCCTCTAGAGAAAAACTTTGAAGAAATTAGAAGAATTTGAGTTATAAAAAGAAAACTAAAATTAATATACAGAATACTTAAAAGAAAATACAGCATTGTTTTAAAAAATGTAACACATGGAAGTTGCCCAATGAAGGATCACTTTAATGCTCATTACAGAATAATTTTATTTTAAGTACAAAACTAGTGGACTCCAAAGTAATGAGCTTGTACCCACGAACACGTGCAAGTAGGTCTGTAGAATGTGTCATTAGCTAAAAAGCCAGAGGAAGGGTTTGGTTCGACTTACAGACACGGGCTTCTGGTTTCCAGCCGGTGGTCTCCATTCATTTCTACGTAGTACTTGCTTCCTTTTAATCTGCTCCGATATCCTTGATCTTGGCGGGCACTTTCCTTGGAATCTCACTTTCTGTATTTTAGAATCTTATTTAACCAAAATAAAACAACTTCAATTTTTAAAAACTTCCCCATCTTTAATATTGATGCTTGTGAGAGTATAAACATAAGGGACATTTCATAGCACAGTAAATTTACTTTAGTCAGAGACATTTGTACCCAGTGAGAGAAGTGCTGATGAAAAATTACCATGCATTTTCTTTGAATGGAGAAAACCATTCTTTCCAGGGTTCCTTTACATACTTCTAGCAATATATAACACTACTTTTTAAAAAAATTTAGGAATTAATGTTAACATTTACAGAAACGATATGCATAGGATAATGGCACAAGTAATTGAACGTAGTCCTCAGAGCTTGGGTTATCAGGCCACACCATCCGCGTTGCATTGTTGTTTGAAATGTATGAGTAGGTCTTCTAATGTTTGTCTCCGTCACCATCAAAATGTGTTCGTTTTCCTTTTTCCTATGTTAGAGCTGTGGACAAGGCACTTTCTCTCACCCTCCTCTCACCTACTTTCTAAATATTCTCAAACCAGACCAAATACACCAATACCAAACCAAACCCAACATGGCAAAGAGGCTCACTCATTTGTTTTTCCTTTATATCTTTCCTCAATTTTAGTTTCCCTGTCACAGTGGATAATATTTCCCTATAACTGATTCCTGACTAATGAGAAGAGAGGAGATGAATCCTGGAGGTCATGCATGAGCTAGATTTACAGGCACACCCACTAGTCACCATTGGACAAGATGATTTTCCCCCTGTTTATATTATTCATATATATATTTTTTTCTCCCCAAAGACCCTAGTACATAGTTGTATATCCTAGTTGGAAGTCATTCTAGTTCTTCTGTGTGGTATGCTGCCACAGCATGGCTTGATGAGCAGTGCATAGGTCCACACCCAGGATCTTAACTGGCCAAACATGGGCCACCAAAGTGGAACACGTGAACTTAACCACTATGCCACCAGGCTGGCCCAGAATTTTTTTTTTTTGGTGAGGAAGATTGGCCCTGAGCTAACATCTCTTGCCAATCTTCCTCTTTTTGCTTGAGGAAGATGATCCCTGAGCTAACATCCATGCCAATCTTCCTCTACTTTGTATATGGGACAATGCCACAGCATGGTTTGATGATCGGTGTGTAGATCCATGCCCAGGATCCAAACCAGGGAACCCTGCGCTGCTGAAGTGGAGCATATGAACTTAACCACTATGCCAGCGGGCTGGCCACCTCATAGTTTTTAAATGTCCATGTTCAATATATTTGGTGGAATTTCCCCACTAATGTTGTCAGCCATAGATTATAACTCACTGTATGAGACACATGTAACAAATGTCTTTTGATTGTATGGCTACATCATTCTTACCCTGGACCATCTTCCCAGCAGGTCGGGAAGCTGGCGATCTTGCTCTACGTATGAGGGTGTGACTGAATTCTTGCTGAATGACCTAAAATCAGACGCATGTGTCAAGGACCTGCTAACCAAAATCTCTGTCAAAATCCAAACAGAATCACCTCCAAACTCACCTCAGGAGTCAAGAATTTGGCAATAAGATTCTCTAAAAAGGGCCTTTTCAAAATGGTATTAATAGATGGCCGATCTCGGGGAGACACTTTGAAGAGCTGAGATATCAAGGACTGCAGGTCATGAGAAAACCTTGGAGATATTGGGGGAAAGTGTGCTTGACAAATCTTCAGAACCAGCTGGTGTAAGTTGTTACCCTCAAACTGAAAGGACAAGCAACAGTGATACTAAATCCGAGAAAAATTCAACACTAGTATTTAAAGTGATATCAAAAAAGCAAAACAATGTTTTTAAGCTTCAGTCAGAAGCACCATGGTCCACCCTAAATTTTTTCCATCAACTATTATTTTATGAGTAGATATTGCTGCAGTTACTCAATGAGGTGCCATGTTATTTAAAAGGTCTTTTTTAAGGTTTTAATTTTTTCTTATTATCAAAATAATATTTACTCATTATAAAAAACTGTAAGGTATAGGAAGTTATACAGTCAGGAAAAATATGTATAATTTCACCACCCAGAGGCATATTTCCTTGTAGTCCTTTTAAAAATAATGTTTAATTTATAGAGTCGAGGTCATAATGATATGAAATTTTACATTTTGCTTTTTTCATTAACATCCTATAAACATGTCCTCAAAAATTCATCATAAACCAGAAAATCTTCCAGTGTATGAAACCATCAGTTATTTATATATAACAACAATATTCAGCAGCATCGTGTGGCAGCAAAGATCAGGTTTTGGTCGGACACTTACTAGCCTCGTGACCTTTGACAATAATAATAATGAAGATCATAACGATGATGATGACAGCTGTGTAGAAAAGAGTTAACACAGCGGGCCTAAGACTGCTATCCTTAGACAGCCCTGCTTGCAATACGAGCCGTTGGCTGGCATTTGGGAACTTAGATTTCAGGAGACTTCTCACCGTTCCCTGAATGCTCAAGGTGGCTCTCTTTGCCTACACTGTGCAAATAATATGGTTTCCGTTGAACACCTGCATTCTTCCTGGGAGCCTGGAAGCTTGGTACATGCCAGGCAGAAGGTGTCTATGTGACTGGTCCCCAATAAAAACCCAGGGAACTTGGTCTCTAATGAACTTCCGTGGTTTTGCATGTGTTGTTACAACCTGTTGCTGAAGGAATTAGCGCGTCCTGTGAGCCTCTTCTGGGAGAGGCTCTTGGAAGCTCATACCTGGTTTCCTACAGCCTTTGCCCCCTGCACCTTTTCCCTTTGCTGATTATATATATTCACACACAATTTATTTTTAATGGAAACATGCTATACTCCTTATACTAGTCTCCAACTTAGATCTTTTACTTTATAGCATACCTTGTATATCTTTCCATGTCAATATATAGAGATCTACCATTCTTCTTAATAGCTCGTCCATATAATTTTTACAATCAAATAAAACCAAACATTAACCTTTTTCTCTCAGAAGTTAATTTCATTTATATAGTTTCAATAATTCAAGATTAATCTGACAATTAACATACTTACAGGATGCCTGAGTGTGCAGAGCTCATACAAGACACAGCCAAGAGACCAAATATCCCTGAGGAAGAGAAGAGTTTACACGCTGAGAAATATCCATAATTCCTAATAAAAGACTTTATCCTCACAGTGCCTTTTAATTGTGTATCTTTACAATTTTATATAGGTTGACCAGTTTTTACAAATGCCTTCAGATACTTTATCAATTCTTATCCTAACTAAGAGGTAAAATAAAAACAATTTATAGTTTGTCAGAATCCTAGCAGAGAAAGGCTACACAAACTTTACTACAATTGGAGGGCTCAATATTTGCTTCAACTTCATGTGCTCAGAGAAAATGGGTGCATGTATGGGACTTTGAGTAATTTGGTGGAGGAAGGCAGGACTCAAACATGGATCTGTTTTGATTCAAAAGGTAAAATTTGGTTTATTTAGAAAGGTATATTCTACTCAAGGCTATTGACAGAACCAAAGTTATATTAAGTGATGAATATAGTATTTGAAAATCAATAAACTCAAAACTGTTCTAATGACTAGAGACTTGCTCTTTAGTGCTTAGTCCTTAGTATTTATATGTGCTTGGTTTAAATAAGGAGTTATCTTATAGAAGAAAGAGCATAATTAAATCTAAAAGACCAAAGAAAATATAATGAGAAGTCCAGGAGGTAAGAAGGTGGTCAGAGTTGAACGAGGATTCAGTAAGGTGAGGTAAATGGCTCCAGTTTAGCAACACTTCCTACGAGAGTGTGTGCAGGAAGGGCAGAGAGAGACTTCCTAAAGCTTTGAGCACAATGCAGGGTGATTACAGAATAGGTGAGAAACAGCTTCCAACTAGTTTCTAGAGTTTTTCTGGAGTTTCTAGAAACTCACTGACCACTTCCCACCACCACACGGAATTTTGTCTTTCCCCATCTTCTGTAGGCCCAAACTCCTCTGTCCCACAGCGCCCCCTGTAGCCAGTGCGGTGAACTCGTACGCCTACAAGCGTTCGGTTGGGGAATGAAGCCGCCTGGGGCTGAGCGAGAACATCTGCATTTCTTATACCCGCCCCGTCTGTGGTGGGGACTGCGGTGAACCAGGGAGGATTTCCTGGTCTAGAGATGGCAGCAGCTACCCAACTGATTAGTGCTAAGATCTTCCTATTAGCAGAAGCACCAAGCAGCATATTTCAATCTTGCCTCAAATCTTTAAAAAAGCAGTACAAGGAAACAATGCTGCTGCCCGGAACTCTTAGCGGCACTAAGCTCTGCTCTGGGCAGCCTGCCCTTCCACCCAGTGATACACCAGCTGCGTGGCCCCTCACCTGGAGGCCAAACCCCTTCCTGGCGCCAGAGGATATATCCAAACCATGCCTGTTCTTTTATTATGCAGACAAATGTTTACCATTCTTTTTGTAAATCTCTACCATCTGGGCTCTGTCTTCCATTTATCTCTTTGAAAGATAGACAGGCAAATATCCTGTGGGTATTTTCCTAAACAAATGGACAACTGACTCCCAAAAGGTACTCAGTCTTCCTGCTAGGCCAACTGGTTCAAATGGCAGCCCGCTTTGAAAAATGAAATTTCTTTCCTTCTCCTTACATGGAAGTAAAAAGTACCTCATCTTTACCTTTTTTTTTTTGATTTCTTTTTTTTTTCTTTTTTTTGAGGAAGATTAGCTCTGAGCTAACTACTGCCAGTCCTCCTGTTTTTGCTGAGGAAGCCTGGCCCTGAGCTAACATCGTGCCCATCTTCCTCTATTTTATATGTGGGACGCCTACCACCGCATGGTGTGCCAAGCGGTGCCATGTTCTCATCCGGGATCCGAACTGGCGAAGCCCGGGCCACTGAAAAGTGGAACGTGTGAACTTGACCGCTGCGCCACTGGGCCGGCCCTCATCTTTACCTTTTATCACTGTGTATATTCATATTACTCCTGAGAACTAGGCTCTGGTATCACATACATAAAAACCAGTTGGATTTTAAAGCTGGAAGACACCTTAACGACTACCTAGCAAACACTCTCTTTGTTACAGGAAGGGGAACCGAGGTCCACAGAAGTCAACTGACTTAGTCAAGTTGGTGACAGAACCAAGTCTAGGATTCCTAACTCCTAATCCAATGCTCGGTCACCAGAGCACACTGCCTTCCACTTGATCCATCTACAACACTTTCCTGCAACAGACTAAACAGAGCACTGAAGGTATGAAAGTCAAATACAGAGACGGAATCACAGTGACTGCCATTTTCAACGTTGTTCTATCATTTGTATCTTTAAATGAAGAGTAATGGCTTTCTTCTAAATAAGTTCAAAAGCTTCGGGGAACACTGAGGTGGTCAGAGACAGTCACTGGGATCCCCATTTCACATGAGAAGAAAGTGAAATTACAAAAGTACCATAAGAAAGAGAGAATCCATCATGTTTTACTGAGACTTTCAAACTGATAGTCAACAACTCACGTTTTATTGTTGTAGGGTTTATTCTGACAGATCTCCGGAGACAGGTAGTAAGGTGTTCCAACACAAGTTCGAGCAAGTTCCATGGAACTAGTATATTATATTAAATAATAATAAAATAACATGATTTATTATTAGAGTAGGAAAAGGCTTAAGACATGGACATACAAAGTCCATGCAAAAGATAAAAATGGATAACAAAATTCGATGCATGCACATATTAAAATAAAGCAAAACATATTGTACATTGATAACAGAGTAATAAGTTGATTTTTCAACTTACAATTCACCTTCCCAAAATCTACATATTAAAATTTCTTTATGGCTTAAAGATTCCACAAGAAGGTATAATTGTTATATTACAAAAACCTTTCAGATGTAGAAATAGTTCCCTCTTTCCAATGATCAAAGTAATGCAATCTCATGATTTAAAATTTGGAAAATATGAAAATGAATAAAGAAAAGAATTACCCAGAATCTTCCCACCTTAAAACAACTACTATTAAAATTCTGACATACTTCCTTCCTGTCTTTTCACCATGCATATTTTTCACATAGCTGTGACCCCAGAGTATTTAAAATTCAAGATTCCATTTTTTTTACTTAATATAACAAATATTTCCTCACATTATCAAAAAGTCTTCAAAATCATAAATTTTAGTGGCTATGTAATATTCAGGTACATGGCTGTGCCAAGTTTTAATAAATTTAACCATTTCTCAATTATTAGGCATTTAAATTGTTCCAAATTTCAAATTATTCCCTTAGAACAAGTTCCCAGAAATAGAATATTTTAAAATCTCTTGGTATTTATTACCACCAAATTGTCTTACAAAACAGTTGTACCCATAGATTGCCCAAGCATGTGTGAATTTGCCTTTCACTAAATTCTCACTAGCTTTATGCATATTACAGCTACGTCTCATTTGATAAGCTTATATCACATTACGCAACATTGCCACCATCATTCTATTAGGCCAAGATTTTTTTTTTTTAAAGATTTTATTTTTCTTTTTTCTCCCCAAAGCCCCCCAGTACATAGTTGTATATTTTTACTTGTGGGTCCTTCTAGTTGTGGGATGTGGGACACTGCCTCAGCATCAGCGGTGCCATGTCACCCAGGATCCGATCCGGGCCACTGAAGCTGAGTTCATGCTCTCAACCACTCGACCATGGGGCTGGCCCCTAGGTCAAGATTTATCCTGGGAATTTTAATCTCAGACAAAGTACCTTGTGAATTATTTAATGCATTTATATAAATAGTTATCTAAAATTATTTGGAAACCAAGCTCTTAATATCTTCTTAATTCATGATACCTAAAAATACATATTTTGGCTGTTTTGAATAGGAAAAACAAAAGTACTTACTTGTTCAGGACTCTTGCTATTCCAAAGTCCCCAAGCTTTGCAACCATTCCATTCTTGCTAAGAAATATGTTCTATAAATGGAGAAAATGCTATGTTGTTTGAGAGATTTCCAGAAAACAAGAGATCAGCTCTGTCTTGGTCTTCTCTCTGAGCTGTTACCTGTGCTTTTATGTCCCTGTGTAAGATCTTCCTGTCATGGATATGTTTTAGTCCTAGGGAAATCTGTACAAACCAACTCAGAATCTGTAGAGGGAACACAAGACACAACCAGTGAGCAGTCTGATGGCCACTGAAATGCCTTCATGATAACACACAGAGAGAAGTAATATATTTGTGTGTGTATCCACACGAATAAAGCTAACAGCTAGACCACCTCATCATGTCATTTTCTTTCTACAGCTAGAAAAATGGAGGTGCAGAAAGGCAATCCAGATTTGTTGGTATCAAAGGGAACTCCACAGATAGAAAAAGAGAAAAAGAAGCAAGCAAGGGAGGGAGGCAGTTCTTGATTTTTTTTTTCTTATTTAACACCTGGTTGCTAACTGTCGGGATAGCAGACAAGCAGCCCTGTTTCCTGGTAACCCTGTACCGCTGGTTTTTCCTTTTCAGTGGAAGGAGGGTGCCAAGGGCAGAAAGAGAAGGAGGAAGAAGTGGAACATCTGTGAGTTATTAAAAATTTTAATGAAATATCAGTATATATGTATATAACATAAAAACAACAAATAGCAGTTTACTTTTAAACTTTTTAAAGCTTAATTTTATTTCTTAGTCATGCTTTTACTTTCTTAGCTGGCCATGAGCCTCTTTATTAAAATGTGTTCCAGCCTATAGAGATTTAAGCTATTCTAAAATTTCATTGGTTCTTTGTCTGTCAAAGAGGAAAACAATAGGGAAAAAAAAGCTATGTTCCAGATACTAAGATTCACTTGTAATTTTAGTTCTTTCCCAACAAAGGGAAATGTAATTCAAAGTTCTGTAGAGAAAAGCAGTTTTGTTAAATGTGGCAAAATAACACCTAAGTAGGAAGAAAGGAGGATTTGTATAAATAATAGAATTTAATATATAATGTAAATGAGCATAGGAAGAATGCTTGATTAAATTTACAGAGGTTAGAGATGTTGATTCTTTAATCATTCCTACATTCAAAATATTCCATGTTAGGGGCTGGCCCTGTGGCCTATTGGTTGAGTTTGGCATGTTCCAATTCTGTGGCCCGGGTTTGTGGGTTCAGATCCTGGGCACAGACCTACACCACTCATCAGCCATGCTGTGGTGGCAACTTATATACAAAATAGAGGAAGAGAGCTCAGGGCTAATTTTCCTCAAGCCAAAAAAAAGAGGAAGATTGGCAACAGTCGTTAGCTTAGGGTGAAGCTTCTTCAGCAAAATTCCCTTTTAACTCTGGGAAGAAATTATATGGGCATGATGTCCTTAAATGCTAAAATAGAACAAATAAACGAATGGCCTAAAGAAAGATGGCAGACCATTCTTGGGCACCGCCTGAGGCAGTGGCCTTACCCATCCACCACACAGGTCCTGATTCGGATTCCTCTCCACACACACACACCTGTCTCCTTCGTGAGTACAACTCCCAAGAGGGTTCCAAAGGACGCTCAGAGGACAGAAGAAAAATGTGTTTGTGCAAAGAGAAGATGGGAACTGAGACCATTATTCTTCACCTTTTCTCTCCTCTCTCTTAATAACCAATGAAACTAAACAGCCATTGCTAAGAAGAGCTTCTATCCTCCCTCACAAAGAGGGATAGCGATTTTAAAAGGGTATCAAATGGGAAAAGAAAGAAGAGCGGGGCTATAAATATGTCACATTTAAAATGGCTAAGCAACGTCTACATTCAGACTTTTTTTAGCCATGGAAATTTATCTCGGAGGCATCCAACGTGCGATTGTCCAAAAATAAGACACTATATTTTCTCAAGCAAACTTGACTCTCAAAGAGATTCAATTTAGGTTCAATTGCAAACATCTATCAAGAATATTGATCCACTATTTTACAGTCTGAATTTCTCTACCAGAAATCATTCTTCATATAAATGCAGTCTGCTACTTATGGTATTATAAATTTAATCCCCTCCAAATGAATTAAAACGCAAATTAGAAGTGTTTTTACCTGATCTTCACTAAATAACACTCCTCGTTGTCTATTGATTCTTTTCATAAGATCCCCTCCATCGCAATACTCCATCACAATAAACAGCCTGTTGTTCTCTCTAAGAAAAGGCATCATTTGGTGCTGGAAGGGTTTCAGATATTTACTAATCATTGCCTTTGAAAGTCTAGAAGTTGGAGAATATAACAGGGAAATGAAATATATATATATATAAAGTTAAAAAGTGACTGTAGAATCCAGATGAACTAGGTTCTAATTCCACTTTATCACTTACATTTCTTAGCTCTATGATTCTGGGCAAGTTATTTTAATTTCTCTATACCTCATTACCTCATCTGTGAAATGGAGATAATAATATAGAAACTCCTCTTAGGACTGTTGTAAAGATTAAACAAGTTAATTCACATCAGATGCTTAGAACAATGCCTGCGCATAATGAGAATGCAATAAATCTTAGCTATTATTATTAACACATTCCTGCAAGAGACTAGCAATCTGCTGTAAAGCGGCAGCTGTGAATCTTTCCCAAAACCCCTGGAAGAATTAACAGACCCTTCTTGGAGTTGCGTACAAACGTTTATTTACCTGGCACTTACTCAACCATGTTGCTGAGTACAAGAGACAATCTTCTTTTTTTTTGAGGAAGATCTGCCCTGAGCTAACATCTGCTGCCAATCCTCCTCTTTTTGCTGAGGAAGACTGGCCCTGAGCTAACATCCGTGCCCATCTTCCTCTACTTTATATGTGGGATGCCTACCACTGCATGGCTTGCCAAGCGGTGCCATGTCTGCACCCGGGAGCTGAACCCGCGAACCCTGGGCTGCCAAAGCAGAACGTGCACACTTAACCGCTGCACCACCGGGCCAGCCCCTAGAGACACTCTTCTAACCGATCTCTCCCTGACCCACTCATCAGATGACAACTGCCAACTCAAGGTCACCACCAGTGGCTACTAGACTCTTTAGGATGCCCTGGGACCTCTGCTCCCCATGATTCTTACCAAGATCATTGTGTTTGTTCCAAAATCTGTTTATGCCAATTATAATTGTTATTGTATTTATTACATAAATTGATGAAATATGAATGGAAAAATAAAGATGTGATTATTTCTACAAAAGCTACATTGAAGGCTTTGGAGGACTCAGTAAAAGTGAGTAGCTGAAAAAAAACGTCATTGACCTAGATGTTAGATGGGACAAGTGGAAAATAACCAGGAAAGCTTTAAAAGGATTGTGTACACAGAGTACCTGTAAATTCTTACTCCACTCTAAAGAAAGGAAATTGGAAATTATAAATGAGAGGGGTAGCCTATGTAAGAAATAATATTCAGAATTCCAATCGGTGGACTCATAATCAAAGACAAGGCCTTGGTCTTACATCAAAAGTTTGGCAAATGACTGTGCACTAATAAGTTAGAATGTGTTTGTATGATTTCCTGCTTAACTAGCTTTTTTCCTTATCCAACCAACTACCAGCTGGACTCATTAGAAAAAGGGCTTCTGGGGCTGGCCCTGTAGCCTAGTGGTTGAATTTGGCACACTCTACTTCAGTGGCTTGGGTTTCAGTTCCCAGCTGTGGACCTATACCACTTGTCAGCAGCCATGCTGTGGCAATGACCCACATACAAAATAGAGGAAGACTGGCAAAGAGGTTAGCTCAGGGACAATCTTCCTCAAGCAACAAGATGTTAGCTCAGGGCAAATCTTACTCAGCAAAAAAAAAAAAAAAGGCTTCTACTATCTCATTTGTTTGTCCCATTACTTTATGGGTTCCCTGAAGACAGAGTCCACACTTTATTCTTTTGTATTCCCTGCACCTAGCACAGTAGCTGGCACATGGAAAGGCCTTAATAAAGGTTTGTTAACTGATTTCATAAAAACGTCAAAGAAACACAAAATAATCACACAAAACCAGGCTTATAAGCAAGTGTTAATCCTTCTAGTATTTTTCCCTGTAGCTATCCAGTATCCACTAAATGGCAGAATCTCTTGCCAAATATCTATCATTTGCGACTTTTTTTTTTTTTTTTAAGGATTGGCACCTGGACTAACAACTGTTGCCCATCTATTTTTTTTTTCTGCTTTATCTCCCCAAACCCCCCCCTACACAGTTGTCTTTCTTGGTTGCAGGCACTTCTAGTTGTGGCATGTGGGATGCCGCCTCAACGTGGCCTGACGAGCGGTGCCATGTCCGTGCCCAGGATCCGATCCCTGGGCCGCTGCAGCGGAGCATGCTAACTTAACCACCCGGCCACAGAGCTGGCCCCCATTTGCGACTTCTTTCTTTCCAGTAAACCAACTTTAAAGTGGGTATCAGTAACCTGACAGTATCTGCCTTTGGTTGCTTCTAATTCACAAAGGGAGTGCTTCTTTCACAGAGCACTTCCATTTTCCCACCTCCCTTCTTAAAGGGGACAGATCCATTCACTCATCAACAGACTCACTGAGGACACGCTGAGGAACGCTGTGCTAGGAAGAAAAAGCAAATAAGCCACACTTCCTGCCTTTAAGGAGGTCACAGTCTAGCTGGGGAGTCAGTGAATATGTGAGAAGAGCCACAGGAGAAGCCTGTACACTTGAGGGCAAGGAGAACAAGAGACAGTGAATGAAAGCCAGACTGGAGACTGCAGGAAGGGTTTTAAGAAGATCTCTCCCGACACACCCTAATTATCTCGAGACCAGTTATTTTTAGGAACGTATTACTTTTAGAAGAATTGATATTTTTCATAGCTCAGTTACTGAAAGGGCTGCCACAGCAATGAAGGATGGCAATTTCCAAACCCTGGGAGAATCAGAATAAGGAAACTAAGGAGAAAGGGTTCCGTTTCGCTTCCTTTCCATCAGCCTCCAACTCACTCAGCCTTAGAGTGGCTTTCTGTGAAAGAAATTAATTGATTCAGGATTAATCGTGGCTGAGCCGTGTTGAAGGAACTATTCAGGTCAATGAGCATCACTTGGCTCTAAGTATGCACTTTTTTTCCACTAGCCACAGTGAATTTCATATTTAATGGGGTTAGAATTGTCTGGAAAGATCACTTACGCTCTCAAATTTTCCATCTGTCTAAAAAAATTAAGCACTACAGAAGGGGGAAAAAGTATAAGAAGCAATTCTTGTCCTCAGGAATTTCCAGTCTATTGAGGGAAAGAAAGAATACACACTAACATTACAATACAGCATATTATAAAGTGCCACACGAGGGATGAGGCCAGTAAGGGTTTGGACACACTGAGAGCAGAGGTGAGAGAGATCACTTCAAGTTTAGGGGGCGGGATCTGTGTTTAGTCTTAAAGCACATATAATATTTGAGAATGCAGAAAGGAGGAAAAGGACAGTGCAAGGCATACCATAGGGCAGTAGTTTCTGGAACTATAAAACTCGTGGGTCATTGACCTTTCGAAACTATTGAAGGGCACTAACATCACGGTTATAACCTTTTTATTTGGCAAATCCCAACATTTAAAAAACAATTACTATAATTAATTCATTCTAAAATGCACTGGGGCTGGCCCGGTGGCGCATCGGTTAAGTTCGCACATTTGGCTTCAGCGGCCCGGCGTTCGCCGTTTTGGATCCCAGGTGCGGACATGGCACCACTTGGCAAGCTATGCTGTGGCAGGCGTCCCACATATAAAGTAGAGGAAGATGGGCACGGATGTTAGCTCAGGGCCAGTCTTCCTCAGCAAAAAGAGGAGGATTGGCAGCAGATGTTAGCTCAGGGCTAATCTTCCTCAAAATAAATAAATAAATAAAATACACTTAAAAAAAATCAGGATTATATCTTACAGACATTGGCATCTTCCAATCAGTGGCTATAGGCCCAGCAGTCTTGATGTTATCACTGCCTGCATAATTTTTAGACTACCTTAACCAATTTAATTTGCTAATATTTTCCTTTTTATATAAGCACAAGAGTAATAGAAAGTAAAACTCTTATGTTTAAATAAGTCTAAAAGATCTCTTTTAATATACATAAAATAAAAATTATAAGTGATAAGAAAGCATGATGTCATAGTTTAATTGGCAACATTTTTCCTTTTAATTACCACATGATGGTCCACCTTACAACCAATGGCATCTAGATTTGATAAAATGAGATATCATCTATTACCACCATCGTTCCATAAAATAAAGGCATTTTAGCACCAGAAATCTAGGAGGGGCAGAGAATCAGAATAAAGAATAAAAATATCTTCTGCTATCCCCTCTTGCTCATTGCACTCTGCCCACACTGACTTCTAGCAGGGTTCTGCAACAGGTCTGAGATTCTGCCCTACTTACAAGCCTGTGACTATTTCAAGGATGCTGGCAGACGACATGAGACTCCTGGGCCAGAAACAAAGGACTGCATTACTCAGCAAAAGCAGTAGTCAGAGCTTCATGTTAGAGCTGGTTCTGTGTCTCCCAAATCCCACGGAGGCAAAACAGGTGAGTCTGGATGGATATCTGCATACACAGCGAACTACATTAAGGGAGAGGAACGCTGAGGTTGGGGAATCTACCGCCTTTTTTTTTTTTTAAAGATTGGCACTTGAGCTAACAACTGTTGCCAGTCTTCTTTGTTTTTTCTTTTTCTTCTTCTTCTTCTCCCCAAAGCCGCCCAGTACATAGCTGTATATTCTAGTTGTGAGTGCCTCTGGTTGTGCTATGTGAGACACTGCCTCAGTGTGGCTTGATGAGCGGTGCCATGTCCGCACCAGGGATCCAAACTGGCGAAACCCCCGGCCACTAAACCGGAGCACATGAACTTAACCACTCAGCCATGGGGCCAGCCCCAATCTACTGCTTTTATGGTGAGCAGTAAACAAGTCTGCTCTCTGTCTTGGGGGAGATGCTACCTCATCCTTCAAAGTTGCTCGCTGCAAACACAATCCAGAGAAATAGCCTGGGTAGACGCTCAGAGCCTTGCATTCTTGGCATATCCAGCAAAAATGTGCAGAGATGCTCAGGGCCCATAGTAGATTGCCTCTCCCAGCAGCCTCCTGACTAGTCAGTTCTTTAACACGTCAGGCCTGCTCTTGCCTCATGCCTTTGCAGTGGCTGTTCCCCTTGCCTAGAAAGCTCTTCTTCAGACATTAGCATGAGTCTTCAAGTCTTTGCTCAAACGTCACCTTCACGATAAGGCCTATCCCCTTCACTCCTGTCTCACCCTATTTTATCTTCCCACAGCACTTATCACCTTCTAACATGCTGTATAATGTACTTATTAGTTATGTTTACATTTATTGTCTGCCTCTCCCGACCCTTTCTCGCTAGAATGTAAACTCCACAGTTGTATGGTAGGCAGAATTCTAAGATGGCCCTAGCGCACACACCTTGTAAACTGCCTCCCCTTGAGCGAGGGCGGAACCTGTACATACGATGGCTATTGCTCCCAGGATGGTATGTTACATAGCAAAGGAGATTTTGCTGATGTAATTAAAGTTACTAATTAGCTAACTTTGAGGTAATAGAAAAGGAGATTATACAGGTGGCCTGGACTTAATCAGAGGAGCCATTTAAATCTCGGTCTAGAGGTCAGAGAAAGAGGAAGTGAGAGATTCCGAGTGGGAGAGGGCCTACTGAAGGAGCCCCAGGGCAGGGAAGGCAGGTGGGCCTCTAGAAGCTGAGAACCACTGCAAGGGAACAGTTAGCAAGAAAGTGGACACCTCAGTCCTACAATTGCATTTAAATGAATTCTGCCAACGACCTGAATAAGCCTAGAAGAGAACTATGAGCCTCAGATGAATGGCAGACCCAGATGACATCTCAATTTCAACTATGTGACCCCCTGAGCAGAGAATCCAGCTAAGCCCAGCCCAGGCTTCTGATCTAGAGAAATTGGGAGATGATAAATGGGTGTTGATTTAAGCCACTAAATTTGTGGTCATTTGTGATAAAGCAACAGAAAACAACGGTGCAGGGATTTGGGCCTATTTTACTCACTGATATATCCCCAAGACCTAGAACATGCCTAGCATGTAATAGGCACTTGGTAAATATTTATTGAAGGAATTTAAGTAGAATTAATTTAGTCTTAGGAAAATATCACCTTCTTATCTTTCGTATGTGCTTCAAATCTATAAAAACTTCATACTTTCTGTAGACAAACATTTAATGAACTAGAGCCACAGTTCTTCTGTTTAGACATAAGCTGTTTGAGGGTAAGCAAAGGCTTTATCTACACTCTCCAACAGTCAGATGCCGCGAGGACCTCCCAGGCTGTCAAATAAGCTCGGTGTCTCAACTCCCAACAATCCACCAGGCAAACTCAAAGCATCACAGTAGCTCTAGTTTTCCTAAACACAGCAGTGCTCTACTTAAAAAAAATAAATACGTAAGGTTGTCATAAGAAAGTTTAAGCTTACAACATAAAGAAACTCAGTGGAGGTTATTTACACTGTAAAAATGACCTCTAATTTCATAATGGTATCTAGTGTAAATCATCCTCAAATATCCATTTTGCATGGGATGAAGGCACACTTCAGTCTATTAAAGTGGTCCAGTCCATGCACTTATTCAGCAATTATGTATTGAGGACCTACTATGTGCTACATGCTGAGGATCAAGTGGTGAGCAAAAGAATTCATTAAGTTTACTCTCTCAAAGGGAGACAAATATTAAACCAATTCATGATTGTATATATATATAAACAGACATACACACGCAAGTACAAAAGTGCCGTGCAAGATCAGTAAAGGGGGCCATAATTTGAATTGTGGTCTCAGAGAAGGCCTGAGGATGAGGAGTTAGCCAGCCAGGGAGCCACAGAAATAACCCAAAGAATGAGGAAAAGAAAGATCATCTTATGGCATTGTTGTTCACAATCAATGAGCAGGAATGTAGAGCACTTTACTCAGTAGGTGCCCCATAAAAGTTGTTCAATACAACTCAACTTCCTGCTCACGTGTACTGCTCAGCTCCCAGGAAGAGCTCCCAAGAGTCCTGAGAGCTCCGTTAAATACCTAGTAGTTAAAGAGGGCCGTACACAGAAAGCTACGTTGAGTGCAGTGGGCTTTTCTGAGGAAGATTAGCCCTGAGCTAACATCTGCTGCAATCCTCCTCTTTTTGCTGAGGAAGACTGGCCCTGAGCTAACATCTGTGCCCATCTTCCTCTATTTTATGTGTGGGATGCCTGCCACAGCATGGCTTGATAAGACATGCATAGGTCCCTGCCCAAGATCCTGGCCATCGAACCCTGGGTCGCCAAAGCGGAGCACACGAACTTAACTGCTAAGCCACTGGGCCGGCCGCTGAGTGCAGTGGTTTTAATTGCTAAGAAACGTAGAGCCTTGCACAGTGTAAAACCTCAAAAGACAGTGGCTATGTTTATTCATTTACTGATTTTTACACCCCTGATAGTACTGGAAAATATCTAGGTAACTTTAACTACTTATGACCTATGAATTCAAGCACCCCCCCGTGCTGGGTTTCTGGGATGGAGAATGCTCCATGGTGAAGTGTGGGCATACACAGCCCTGTCACAGCCTTATAAACACCTGACATACTGTATACATGTTTATTGTGTGTCTCCTCCCTCTAGAAAGTAAGCTCCATGAGGACAGGTATTTTGGCCTGTTTTGTTCACTGCCATATTCCTGGCACCTAGAACAATGCCGGCAGCTCGTAAGCACTTGACAAATATTTGTTAAGTGAATGAATGGTCTCCGACCAATGTTGCTTTCATATGTTTTTTTTAACTTTTGGAGTCAAGTGATGGATGGAGGCAGAAGAGATGTTGTACTCAGACGTACAGAAGAAGGGAATTGCTTCCTTCAAGATTTCCCCCTCTATTTTGGCCATTTGCTTGCCCATGGTGCATGGCTCTTTCCCGCCTCTCTGTAAGAGGACTGTACAGCCCCACCTGTTACCCCAGGACATGCAAGCACTCACACAGGCAGAGTATCCCCTCCTCCACCAGCACCCCAATGTCAGGGCTGGCTGCTTTGGCAACAGGAGCATGAGCACATAAGGAAAGTGAGAAACGTGCCACATCCCAGCAGGACTCTGAGACTGACGGTGTGGTGGGCTCTGTGTCTTGCTCTTTCCTCTTGCTCACGAAAACAGCATGCTCCATCTCTGGGCTGCTCCTTCAGCCTGGACCCCAGACTTAAGACCCCGCCCACCCACAGCCGACATGTAATGTGAGTGAGAAATAGATGTGCATTATTGTAGGCCATTGAAATATAGGGGTTGTTACTGCAGCAAAGCTAACACACCAATTATGAACTATTTGAGGGGGTAAGAATTAAGGAGAGATGGGAAAACTTAAGAAAACTAAGAAAGCTGTCCTCAAAAACTCCCTAGAGAAGAAATAAAGACTATGTCTCAAATTATAATTTAAGTAAATGAGAGAATGAGTTCATTTGCAAAGATTAATTTATACACAGTTCTCAGGAACATACCTTTTATAGAAGTCTACATGCCCATACTTTATTAAAATACTTTAATATTAGAAAGTCAAACCTTGAAATGAACTGAAGAAGGTGACAATGTTGGGATGTTTCATCTTTGCCAGGAGAATGACTTCTTTCTTTGAAGCTTCTTTTTCTTGGATGGGCATCTAAATTATATTGAGACAGAGCAGTCTGTTAAGATAACTTGCTTTTAAGAGCATGCTTTCTGCTCACTGCCACCTAAAATTCTCCAGCATTTCACTGGCTTTTAAAGACACTTCTGAAACTGGTCTCTCAATGGCAGGAACTAACTTTTCCAGAATTAGCAGAGTGTCTTATACCTGATCAATGGTTTGTCAATGACAATCATAATCAAGAAAATAAATATTTACTGTGAAGTTTTGCTGTACTAAAAACTCAAGTGGAGTGGTGGTACTGTGTTATAATTATTTAGGCATCTGGAGGAAAGTTATTTGAATATTTATCTTTCAGCAGCAAAGGAATACTTTATAAAAATGTAATGTTCCAGCAGCAATCAGGGCTGAGAAGAAACAAATGAAATCTAATAAAAGAAAGTGTGTCAAAGATCACATAAATCAGACCAGTAAAGTTCTGTAGTAAGACTACATTTTTCATTTTCAAATAAAAATTGTCTCTTGTGACTTCATTTTAGATTTGCTATATTTTCTTATTATTCTGTTTATCTTCTATGGACAACACTTTTCAAACATTTTGGTGCTAAAGCCACCGGCCACACCTCTTACCTACCTTTTCTTCCTCATTCCTGACACTATGCCAACTTGTCATTTCTACCCTGACTTCTGGCGCCTGGCTGTCCCACATGTCTAGCCTCCACGGGTCACCTGTTCCTCTCCACCACTCCCTCTGTAAGGTTCTTCAACTTCGGCCCACACGTAATGTGTGAGTTCCCAACTTTCTCACCCTTATTTAAAGAATTTTTAAAAAATTAACATTCTCAGTCCCAGCTTTACTGCCTCCTAGCCATGATTCCTTCCGTGTTATTTAAATCTTCTAAGCTTCAGTATCTTCTGCCCCAATTTAAATTGCATAGTTGGTACAAATGAGTTCCAAAACAAAAATAACTGAATTACTCCTACCAGATTGATAGACTTAGCTACTTTCCTTTTAACTACTATTTTTAGCTTTTTTTTAAAGATTTTATTTTTCCTTTTTCTCCCAAAGCCCCCAGGGTACATAGTTGTGTATTTTCAGTTGTGGGTCCTTCTAGTTGTGGCATGTGGGATGCTGCCTCAGCATGGCTTGACGAGTGGTGTCATGTCCGCACCCAGGATTCGAACCAACGAAACCCTGGGCTGCCAAAGCAGAGCGCACGAACTTAACCACTCGGCAATGGGGCCAGCCCTTAACTACTATTTTTCAAAAGAATAGTATAAACAAAATTAAAAGGCAAACATAGGTAGGTAATTGCATTTTTATAATTAGGTAAAAATACTAGAACATATATGATAAAGATTTTTGTGTTTTTAATATATAAGGATTTCTGACAAATTAATAAGAAAAAAAGGCAAACACATCAATAGAAATTTGGAAAAATACATGAATAGGCAACTTGCAAAAAAGAAAAGAAAAACGGCTGATAGAAAAAAAAATTCAACCTCATTCAGTAATCAAAAGAACAAGGACTAAAACGAAACTTGATACAATGTTTCATCTGTGAAATTGGCAAAGACAAAAAGAATGTTAATGTACACTTTTCTCCAGAAAGCAGCAAAGCGGACACTCATACTTCTGGTGTAAGTATATAAATTGGTAAAATCTTTCTAGGAAGGCAATTTTACAATATGTAATAAGAAACTTTAAAATGCTCCTATTTTTGACTTACTAATTTTTCTAGAAATTTATCCAAAGAAAATAATCAGAAATGCCTGAGGATTCTCATATAAAAGGCTTCATTATTGGGCTGGCCCAGTGGTGCAGTGGTTAAGCACATTCCGCTTTGGTGGCCCGGGGTTTGCTGGTTCGGATCCCAGGTGCAGACAAGGCACCGCTTGGCAGGCCATGCTGTGATAGGTGTCCCATATATAAAGTAGAGGAAGATGGGCATGGATGTTAGCTCAGGGCCAGTCTTCCTCAGCAAGAAGAGGAGGATTGGCAGCCAATGTTAGCTCAGGGCTAATCTTCCTCAAAAAAAAAAAAATGCCTTTACTACAGTATTTTATTATTAGTTTTTTAATTACTCTAATAATACACACTGACTTTAAAAAACATTTTGTGACATAGTAGGGAATAAGATAAAAGTGAAACTTCTCCTTTTCCTCCCCACTCATTCCATGAGTTCTTATTCTCTAGGGGTAATTGCTGTTAATTGTTAGACCTTTTTATTTAATGTATGTATAGGTAAACATATATACATAGTTTGTTTAATAAAAATGACATATTCTACATATTAGATGTTATTTAATCATGGCAAAAAATATCAAACAACATAATTGTCTGAAAATAGAAAAAGAGACAAATTAGTTTTGTTTTTTTCATGAAGAAGATTTGCTCTGAGCTAACATCTGTGGCAATTTTCCTCTATTTTGTATGTGGGATGCCACCACAGCATGGCTTGATGAACAGTGTGTAGGTCCACATCTGGGATCCAAACCCATGAACCCCAGGCTGCCAAAGCGGGGCACACAAACTTAACCACTATGCCACCGAGCCAGCCCTGATAAATTAGGTATTTTTAACCTGATGTCATACTATACAGTCATGAAAAATCAAGGCAAGCAATGTGCCATAGTAGAAAGAGCAGAGGAAGCATTAGAAGAATCTGCTGGTTACTATGCATCATTGAGCAAGTTATTCAACCTCTTTGAGTCTCGGCTCTTTCACCCACAATGAGATCTAACTTTTAGGGTTATTGTGAGAATTTAATAAGTAGATACATGTAAAATACCTAGGATGCCATGATATATGAGAGGCACCCAGTAAGTGGTGACCATTATCATTGTTATTGTGAACATTTAATATTATTAAATAAGAACATTTTATTATATGAAAACATCGAATGACATGATAAAATATACATAATATATTGCTAAATGTAAAAAGCTGCTATAAAAGAGTATACCCACCATGACATCAATCATTCTAATAACTTATAAAGTACATTTACGCATTAAATATAGCCTTGAGAGAAATTTACCATAATGTTAAAAGCAATTACGAGAGAGGTTATAAGTGATTTTTATTTTCCTCCATATGGCCTTATTTTCCCCTTTGGTTCTTTTCCAAATGTCTATAATGAACATTTTTATTTTTATAATCAAGAAAAGATACAACACATTTTTGGAGGCAAGACATGAAAGAATATGCTTGATAATAGTAGGATGATGATAGAAAATACTGGCTTTTTGGTACCTGTAAGAAAATAAGCAATTTAAGTTTTGGGGTCTAGAGTTTCCTGAGTGGAGGGTGTTGGAGAGATGAGAAGAAATATACATTTCTCTAGGAAACAAGTAATGAAAAACTACATTAGAGTAGAAAGGAAGAAAGAAGTAGTAATGAATGTTAATACTGTGACCCAGGTGTTGCTAGGCAAATTTGATAACATAAAGAGATACGGGAAAGCGAGAATAATAGGGCCTAATGTAACAGTCTGCTTATTTATGGCATGGCGACTAAGGTGGTTCATGAGTAAAAGGATGAAAAAAGTTAGTGCTGTATTAGAAAAATAGTCAATTTTTATCTATACTAAAGAATGGGAGAGATGTTATGAAATGCATTAATATCTATTTTTATAGAGGATTCACGTCCCAAATAGTTTTTTCTTTATTTAGCATTAGAATGGTTTTCTAATTCCTAAGTATGTACCAGCTTAACAACAGAGCTGAAGGGTCTGCAAGTATCTATCCATTGAATCATTTATCCGGTAAGGATTTATTGAACACCTACTGGTGCCAAGAATTAGTAGCAATACTAAGATGAATGAAACATGGATTCTGCCTGCATAGAACATACAGTTTAATAAGGGGAGAAGGCACAAAATAAACAACTAAAGCACATCAAAGTAGAAAGCAATCGGCACCATAACAGCGGTACTGATAAAAAGCTATGGGGTTTACAAAGAAAGAAGATTAGTACTTGGGGTGGGAAGGTCCTGGAAGGCATGCTGGAGCTCAGCCCAATCAAGTGGGATCTTGATGGTTGGAGATGGGCAGGCAAACCCCCCTTGGAAGAGACAGCCTCACAGGCAAGCACAGAGGCTGGAGTGCAAAGGTTCTGTACGTGGTTCCCCTTGGGGAAGGATATGTGAAAGGAAGGCTGGGAGTGGAATTTGGGTACAAATCAGAGAGGGTGTCAAAACTTATGTGAAGAGTGAAACAATATAAAAGCATAAGGCAAAAATTACTCACAATCCCATATTCCACCCAGGGAATAACAATCTAGTATGTCTTCTTTTCTTTGTATGCATGTGAATGTTTGTGTGGATATATACATACCTATATATATTTTTACAAAGATTGCATCACACATACTATTTTCTCGATGAGCAAAAGTTGTGATATTTCCCATGTCAATACTTCACCTATAACAGGATTTCTTAGAGCCACTTAGTTTTTTATAAATTGCTTAGCCAATCCCCTACTGTTGGACAATTTAAGTTGTTTTCTGACTGTCTGTACATCTCTGGGTATTTCCTTGGAATAAACTCCCAAAAGTAGAACTACTGTGTCCTAGGCTGTGTACTTTTTTCCTATTATTTTTCAAAATGAAGATAGCTTTTTCTGCTTACACAAATAATACAATTCATAATTTTAAAAACATAATATGCGCTCCATATTAAAAATTCTGACAATGCAGAAAGGAATGACAGAGGTGAAATCCTACCACTCAGCAATAATCACTGTAAATGCTATATGTGTTTGTGTGTATGACATTAACAGTACACATATAGACACACAACAGTTTGTGGTCTGATTTTTTTCATCTTTACAACATATTGTGGACCTTACTCCTTGTCAATAATACAAACAGGGCAGGGGTCTTCTAAGGCTGTGATACATATTGATAAACTCCTTTCAGGGTAGTATCAATTTACCCTCCCCTCAGCAGAATAAGAGAGGGCCTGCTTTCCTCTACTTTTATACTCTTTTTAATTCTCCCCAATTGTATAAGTGAAAAGTGGTATTTATTGATTTTCATTTCTGAAGTTATTGAGTTTGAAATTTTTATATGACCACTTCTTTGGTTATAGGTTTTGTCTTTTTATTGATTTATAAAAGGCTAGCACCTTTTAGTCAATACTTGCAAATCTTTTTGGCATTTTGTCAATTTTCTTTCAATTTATTCATAGTGTTCTTTGCCATAGAAGTTTTATATTTTTACGTAATCCAACCTAGCCATCTTTCCCTTTATGACTTCTGTTTCAATGAAGGCATAGATGGAGCATTATCAAAATTGATCCAAGTAACCCGAGGGCTTAGGCACTGACAAAGGGAATGAAGCAAATTCAAGGGAGAGAAAGAGTCAACAGGATTTAGCAAATAATTGGATGTGGAGAGAGAAAAAAATTCACAGATGACCCAAAGGTTTTGAGCCTGGATATCACAAAGCCATTGATATCATGAACACAGTGCAGCACACAGCAGGTGACATGCGTCTGCTTAGAAAGAGGAGAGATTTCTACTTTGTTTGGGGTACATCTGTGGTAGCTAGCTTCCAAGATGGTCCTCAATGATCCTCGCTCAGAGTTCTTGATGAGCACAAACTGCGAGATAATAAATGTTTATTGTATAAGCCATTAAGTTTAGGGTAATACGGTACGCAGCGATACATTATTAACACAGATATTTACTTGAAGTTGTCTAGCTGGCAGATGAAATGTAGACCTTGGGAGCAGGAAGATATCAGGGCTAGAGAGACAGTTTTTAAGAGTGAGCTGCTTAGCAGTAAAGATTGAAGCGAGGCAATTGCCAGTGGACAATGTACAGAAAGAGAAGAGATAAGAAAAGGACAGATGGTTGGGGACATACAGAGAGTGAGCAGACAGAAGGGCCTGAGAAAGAGCAATTAGATAAACAAAAGAGATGGAGCAGAATAATGTCATGGAAGGAGCTCTTCAGGCCACTAGAATAAGAGGTCATTAGAAGGATGCCAAGGATCCATGAAAAGGGGCCTATGTTGGTAAATAAAGCATTCCCTCTGAAGGTAATTGTCTACACAGGAGCTTTCATGTAAGTTTGGGTAGCCCCCTTTTTTTTTCCAATTTTAAAAATGGTGATAAAATATTTATAACATAAAATTTATACCATTTTAACCATTTTTAAGTGTACAATTCGGTGGCATTGACTACATTCACATTGTACAACTTGAGGAGTTCATTTTCCATATTTTTGTTGTTGTTGTTGTTGAGGAAGATTAGCGCTGAGCTAACTGCTGCCAATCCTCCTCTTTTTGCTGAGGAAGACTGGCCCTGAGCTAACATGCGTGCCCATCTTCCTCTACTTTATACGTGGGACGCCTACCACAGCATGGCTTATCAAGCGGTGCCATGTCCACACCCGGGATGCAAACTGGCGAACCCTGGGCTGCGGAAGCGTAACATGTGCGCTTAACCGCTGCGCCACCGGGCCGGCCCCTTGCATACATTTTGTATGAAATTTTTTCTGCTACTCTCATTTATAAATTCTCTGGAAGGCAACCAACAAGACTCGCCTTAAAATTAATTCTAGCATACCACGGACATTGTTGTCCCAATATATTTTAAAACAAACATATCCCTAGAGAGGGTGACAGAAACACTGACCAAGGGGAGTTTAGCAAAAATTGTTCCTTTTTAATTAAATATACTTAATTATTTTCCAAACTCATTAAACTAACAATATTTGGTTTTCCTCCATTCAATAAATATTTTTGAGATCTGTTATGCGCCGGGTGCTGTTCTCCACGTTGAGGGAGACAGACAATAAACAAGTGAAGAAATAAGTGAGCAAAGTCATTTCAGATCATTATCAAAGCTATTAAGAAAGTAAACCAAGGGGGTTTGATAGGAGTGATTGAGGCTGGGGATCCTTGGCTAGGATGTTTGGGGAAGGCCCCCTTGTGGAGGTGAGCTGAATAAGAAGAGAAGGTCAGAGGAGGTGCACCACCCCAGGCCAAACAGAAAGTGGAAGCAGGGGCCAGCCCTGTGGCCTAATGGTTAAGTTTCCCGTGCTCCACTTTGGTGGCCCGGGCTGGTTCCCAGGTGTGGACCTACACCACTCAGCAGCAGCCATGCTGTGGGGGCATCCCACATACAAAATAGAGAAAGATTGGCACAGATGTTACCTCAGGGTGAATCTTCCTCAAGCAAAAAGAGAAACATTGGCACAGATGTTAGCTCAGGGTGAATCTTCCTCAGCAGAAAAAAAAAGAAGAAAGAGAAATAGAGGAGGGTGAGGCCTCATAGGCCTTGCAGGCCACAATAAGGAGGCATAGGAGTTAGAGATAGGATTTTATCTTCTTTATCTCTCTCTCTTTTTTTTAAAATAGGATCATTGGTTGTTGTTTGGACAACAGACTTAGGAGGCTGAGAGGACAATGGACTTAGGAGGTTGCTAACAAGGGTCCAATGAAGCTTAAAGTTCATACTTGTTCATACACACACAAAAATGTGTTTCCTCAGATGTTAGCTCAGGGACATCTTCCTCAAGGAAAAAGAGGAAGATTGGCAACAGGTGTTAGCTCAGGGCCAATCTTCCTCACCAAATGAATAGGAATTTTAACTTCTTAACGTACCTTTGCAAAATTGATCTCTTTTATAACACAGTGCTTGCTATCTGATTTCCCTTTGGCCAAGTATGCTTTCCCAAAGGCACCTTCCCCAATGGCCTTAATCACATCGTATTTATCCATGGTCTCCAATGCACAGAGGTTCCTGGAATTAGAGTAATGAAATTTTATTGCACACTTTTCATAAACACTAACAAATTCGCAAAATTGATCACTAAAATGTAAAAGAACTCATTTTGCTAAAACTTTCCCTCCAACCTCGCCAAGACAGGGTCACATAACTTTCCTTGCGGCCACAGGTAACCATCAAAGTGAGACAGATCTTCCTGGTAGGCTCCCAGCTCAGACTTGGGCTGTAGTTCAGCTTTGATACACTGTAGTGTTGTGATCTTAGGCAAGTCACTTTAACCTCGCAAAACCTCACTTTCCTAATTTCTAGAATGCAAATAACAATACCTAGTTTTGCACGTTTGTTCTGAGAATGAAAGATATAATGCCCGCGGTGCTCGGCATCTCTGTAAAGCAGGAATGTACCTACGCTTACATAGTTCTACAGTCCAACCTTGCTCAGTGGGAAGGTGCTGCCCCCTAGGGGACATTTTGGAAATTATGGAGTTTTTTCGTTCTCCGCAGAGACGGAGAGGCACTACGGGCATTAAGAAGTTCAGAAGCTGTTGGGGCCCGGGATACTGCGATTCTGAGATGCAAGGGACCGTCCCGCACAATAAAGGATTATCCCGCGGAGCTACAACCTTTGACAGTCTCCCCACACATTCATGTGCGTGGAAAAATCCGTTTATAATTATCTGCGGCTAGAACCAAACCCTATTTGACATCTACATACGAAGTATTTTTTGCGGTTTTAATTAACATTGCATTTTCGAGGAAGGCAACTACACGTAAATCAAGGCTTGGCTGCACCTTGTTTTATTTGGAAATTTTCCAAGAACTGCTGACCGTTTTTGGAAAATCACGCCCCCACTGGCCACGCTGCTCCCAGTAGCCGAGACCTAGCAGTTTGCAGCGGTCACGGTCAAGGGACTCCTGCCCGGGCGCGGGCCCCCGGCTGCTTCACTGTTTGTCCGAGTGTAGTGGTACCAAGCATTTACAGACGGAAGCGCAGATTTTATTATCAATTGTCTCCTTGCACATCTCCTTTTAATACAGTTAGGACATTATGCTGATTTTTAAAAGTTCAGTGAGCAGGCTGGTTACGTTTTTGAGTAACCTGTGTCTGGGTAGGAAGGGAGGCCAGCTCCGCAACCAGGAGAAGCTGGGGCCACCCGAGGACCGGGTTTTGAGGGAGGTGGTTGCGGAATCGGAACTGGAGGGCACCAGCGCGGGAATTGAGGGACTGCGACGCTGCCGCCCAGGTGGCACCGGGGGTAGAAGCCCCCAGGTTTCGGGAAAAATCCCTCTCCCTTAGGGAGACTCTGGGAGGCGGCCGGCGGACGGGCGGAGGAGCTCGCGCAGGGCTGGGAGCTTGGTGCTCCGCGCGTTGCCATGGAGATCGACGCGGCCCAGGGAGGGAGACCGCGTCCCTGCCGCCCCGGTCCCCCCGGCGGGGCTCCATCCCTTTCCCCGCGGCTCCCGGAGTCCCAGGGGCGGCTCAGGGTAAGGACCAAGGGCGGCGTGCCCGCAGCATACCTGCTCCGCCGGCTCCGCGGGGCGAGAGAGGCGTCCCGGCTGGATCCGGGTTCCTGGGGCTGCCGCGCCTCCGGGCGGCCGGGGCGGCGCCGCGCGAGGGAAGGCGGGCGGGGCGGCGAGAGGACCGGTCTACCTCGTCCACCAGGAAGAGGGGTCAGAGGCGAGGGAGTTTGGACACGTGACTGCTTCTTCCCGTTGCCTTAAGTCTAGACTCCTGTGCATAGCACTCAACAAGCACACCGCTTCTCGTTCTTGTTTACGGTGTGCCAGATGCTTTGCATACATCTCTATTTTTTGCACCAACCCAGCAAGGTAGTAGTCTCCCAGTTTTACAAATGAGCTAAACTGAGACAGGAAGAGTTTCTTGTGCACGGCTTCAAATACTTCAATAGATGGAGACTGGAACGGAATCTTGTTCTTTTGACAGAAGCTGGCAGCCTCCCATAGGATCCTCTTACAAAACTGGCCACTCTCCAGTGGTCTGGAAACGCGCTTCTCTCGCCCTCTCCACGCCCCGTTCCCCATCAAACTGCTATCTAAAACGTTTCACTACATGTTTGCGTAGTTAAAAGGGTAATTTTCAGCAATTATAAATATTGACACAAAACATATCCAAAGGAATCTAAATACCATGGCAATTTGAAACCCACCATCATCCTTTTTTTTTTTTAAAGTAAGCTCTTCTTTAAGAATCAGGAAGTTTACATCATTCCTTTCTCTCCTTGAACCACTATCTCCATAAGTAATGTTCTTCCTGCTTCAGAGTCTGATTGATCATCCAACTGTATAAATGGAACTTAATTTATATTTCCTAATCACAGGCTTTTATTTTTTGATTAAAAATAAATACTAGTACACAACTGATCAAAATAAAATATATCACAACATTGATACTTATTAAATATAAAAAGTAAAGTTGTATTGGCCATTCATCTGTTTGTTTTTGGTGAGGAAGATTGGCCCAGAGCTAACATCTGTTGCCAGTCTTCCTCTTTTTGCTAAAGGAAGATTATCCCTGAGCTAACATCTGTGCCCATCTTCCTCTGTTGTGTATGCGGGACGCCTCCACAGCATGGCTTGATAAGTGGTGTGGAGGTCCACGCCAGGAGCCAAGCCTGTGAACCCTGGGCCACCAACCCAGGGCAGCCAACCCTGGGCAGCTGAAGTGGCGCATGAACCACCAGCCCACTGGGCCACCCCACCATTCATCTCTTAAAGACCTTAATGAGCTTTCCTCTTCCTCCCCCTCATTAGTTCAATTGGTATCCATAGATAAGTGCTAACCTTTGCTGGAATAGACAAGGTTCAACACTGACTCTCTTCTGTTTTTCTTTATCTCTGTTTTAAAGCTGTAAGTGCTGTGAAACCTCATTCATAGAAGTAAATAGGAATTGGAAGTTTTGTTAAACCTGTCCCTCAATTCTTGCCTAATTGTACTTCAAGAATCCCTATAGTAATCTATCACTACAAATGGTTTCTAATCATCCATCAGAGTCTCTTGAAATTTCACTAAAAGCAAAACTCTGCAAACCATTTGACTTTCAAAAGGATTTCTCATCCAATCAAGACTCATTCAGTCTCTCAATAACTGTACATAATTCCCAGTTCCCTTTGTTTGATGGCTTGGAAATGTTTACACCCTGGGGCAGTGCTAAGATTTGAGAGGACTAAAAGATATAGAATACAGTAATTATGGAAACTGAATATCTAGAAATCACTTTAAAACTATCCCTGCCTACCTCAACTCTTGAAAAGTCTTCAAAAAAGTGGTAAAAAAAAAAAAAAAAGGAGCTAACATAAGCAACTTTGGGAAACAGAGGTTTGGCTGGAAACTGTAAGGGTAATGACAACAGGAACAATACATGAGCTCTGTGGTTGGGGATTGTTTCGCACAGTGGTATGCGTTAATAATTTGGAAACTGCTTTACGTGCATAACATGCATACTGGAGTTGAACACCTAAGTAGTGGACAGTAGATGGTGCACACCAAGTTTCTCCATCAGTGAGAGAAGCTACAGAAAAGCAGGAGGGGAAGCTAGAATGAACCCCGTGGTACTGGATTAGAGTCCAAGACATCTGTATGAATCCATGCTTAGCTTAATATACACAGCGATGGAGACATAGAGAAATGACTACAGATATGTGTGTATACCCAGGATAGTATACAGACATGTGTTTCCTAGCTCTGTCTGCTGACAGGGCCTAGAAGCAGTGACATCCCAGTAGCAATAAGCACACCCAGTACCCAGATCCTGGTTTCCAAACCAATGAAAGGAACCAGGGCCCCTTGGAGAACTGGCTGATTCTGGGGCTGGGCAGAAAGGTACAAGATGAGCCTAGACCACCTTCTTGTAGTGCCAGAAAGCAAGGAGGTGCTCAGAACACAGAAGGATGAGGGCATGTCAAAAGGACACAGGAGCCAACCTGAAACGACTCCCAGTGGCCAAAGCTAGAATAACCTGAGCAACAAAACAACCAGCATAGTATTGGATTATGCTCCCCTTTGGAGGTGGAGCTTAATCACTCTCCACTTGAGTACGGGCTGGACTCAGCGGCTCTCTTAGAGTAAACAGAGCATGGAAATGGAAGACTAGTGACTTTACAGTGGAGAACTGGGTAGACATGGCCTTCACCAAGTGATCCCGTCATGCTGCGATCACATACTCTCTGATACGATGCGACGGGAAGGGCACTTCACTTCTGTGGTATTCTTCCCCAAACCCCTTAAGCTCAGTCTCATCACGAGAAAAAAAAAACCAAACTGAGGGACATTCTACAAAATACTTAACCAGTACTCCTCAAAATGTCAAGCTCCTGAAGAATAAGGACAGACTGGGAGACTGTCAGAGACCAGAGGAGACTGAGGATGACCAAATGACTAAGCGTGAATAAAGTGTGTGGGGCTAACAGTCCATACTACGGTTTTTGTATGTTAAGACAAAAAAACTGCTTAAATCTTTAAAAGATGTTTGTACGCCATATTTCAGCAGATCCTTAGTAATGATCCCACCGTAGGTTCACAAACATTTCCCCCTATTCTTCAGTTGAGCATTGGTCCCTATACCAGGTCAGGCTTAGGCTGTTTCCACACTTGCCCCTGTGGGATCCCCTGAGAGGAGCCAATTTTTTCTTTAGCAAAGTATTCCCACCTCCCTAAAGCATCACAGTATTAAATGACAGGACCCAGCACAGGTGTGTCATGGTGACCCACACATGCTGGGATCCCCCTGCCTATTAGTATTAGTTCCACAACTCTGTCTAGTTTCTGATACTTCCCATATCGACGACTCATCTTTGGCCCTATTTCTTTCTTGTGTACAGGACTGCCAACCTCTAACAAGATCTGTAGCCCACCGCATCCTTCCCATGGCTGATCCTCCAACCTGGGCTCTTTCGTGCATCCTGTGAGGGGCTATATTGAAGGACGGCTGGTGGCTGCTGAAGATCAGTGAAGATCAACGATCACGACCCAGAAATAGGTCTTATTGAAAAACTGCACACATTATTATAATTAAATATATTTAGATCCTCAAACCTTTAGGAAATGTAAAAAGAGTTATATAATAATAGACACAAACCGTAACAATGCAAATAAGAACATTACAGGCTGCTGTAATGGTCCATGGTCAGCATCCCTGTGAGGTAGGCGTTCTTCTCATTTTATAGTGAGGAGATTCGGGCTCAAGGGGGTTAAGTAATTTCCCACAATCACACAAACATAAGTGGCAGCATCCAATTTCTGGTCTATCTGACCGAAAAGCCCAAAGCTCATTCTCATTATGCTATGCCTCCTCCTTTAAGTTCAAAAACTCACAGTTCTAGATTTTTTACCTCATGATACTAATCAGGAACAATTATAAATATTCAGTTTCTCCCTCTTCATTCTATTTCCAAAGGAAAATATACATTTCGTGATCTATTTATCCAAACATTAATTTCTCATCTGAAGCAACTGCTCAGGGTGACTAAGCACACTGCCTCGGGCATTATCCATCAGACACTCCCTGCCAGCCAGTTCGCTGCTTCAGTTCTGACACCCAGTCAAGGTTGTCGTCTTCTTCCTCAAAGTCCCTGTGAAAACACAATTTGGATATTAAGCCTCCGTATTAGGGGCACATCAAGTATTTGCTGATGGGTTCAAAGCAGAAGGCCAACATAACAACATTTACATTATTGAAAAATGAGCTCCATAAAGCATTCGAACAAAGAAAAACCTGTTACCTCTTCCAAAAGATCACTTCCTTCACTGTTTCTACAAGTTTTCAATATAAGATCTAGTATATTCAAAAATAATATGTCCAAGCTGAAAGACTATAAATACGTGGCTCAGTAAGGAATTCTGTGATAATACTGTAACACATTACCCACCCCAGACAAAAGATCAAGATATAAATATTCATTTATGACGTAAAGTAATATAACCACCTCCTAGTAAACCAGAAATTAAGGTATAATTTAAATCTCACACACACACACACACACACACACACACACACACACACAGACCCCAACCAAAGCTTTCTAGGTATATCACAACGTACGTGTCCTCCTCATCCAGCGTAGGTTCAAGTCTCTCTGGATCCAAAATGACAGAATCGTGACCTCCATCGACATTGTCTGATGCTTCTGTTTCTTCAGACAGGGGACCTTTCAAGAATCCCTGTGAACCTTCAGAGGAACAGTAACAGAAATTATACTAATTTAAACAGTATTTACTTATTTCATGCACGTTGGACTAAAATCTTTCAAAAGCTTGCTGTCTAATTGAGGACAATGCCATGTTCTAGATTTCTTTTGTAGTGCCTCCCCATATCACCCAGCAGGATTTCTGGCATGAAACAGGCCCAGTAAGCATCAGTATGTATATTAAATTTTAAAATAGTACCTTCTTCAAAAGAAAAAATTCAGAAAACTACAATTAAAACCCCCAACTATAAGAATCTATATTAAAGCATTAAAAGTTATCTTTGAATAGTCGGACTACAGTCAATTTTTTTTGCCTTTGAGCGTCTCCTGTTCCCAGGTTTTCCCAATGGAGGAGAATAAAATTAGGAAATTAAAGAAAGATTACATGCAGGCTTTTAAAAAATTTTGCAGATGGTAATTACTTTTGGATGTTTGCTTATGA